CCTTAGTGGGAGGTAGTCAGAGTGTCTGAGGTAGAAGACCCCGGGGAAGGAACGCAGGGCGAAGCGCTGGACTTCTCTGAGGATTCCTCGGCCTTCTCGTCGTTTCCTGGCGGGGTGGCTGGAGAGATGGGCAAGAGACCCTCCTTCTCACGTTTCTTTTGCTTCATTCGGCGGTTCTGGAACCAGATCTTCACTTGGGTCTCGTTAAGCTGCAGGGATGCAGCGATCTCCACCCTGCGGGCGCGCGTCAGGTACTTGTTGAAGTGGAACTCCTTCTCCAGCTCCGTGAGCTGCTTGGTAGTGAAGTTGGTGCGCACCGCGTTGGGTTGACCCAGGTAGCCATACTCTCCAACTTTCCCTGGGGCAAAAGTGGGAAGCCATGAGATGGAAAGGTAAAAATTTTTAAACCGACTTGAGATTACCTACACGCTTCATGGCAACACTCAGGTAAAGAAAAGATCAAGAACTCAACACAAATCGGGCTGTGGAGGGTGAGTGATGAGGTGTAAAGTGTTAACCTGAAGTCAACCATTAGCGTGGTCAGATCGGTGATTAATGGAGCCTTAAGATATTAACAGAACACTACCGTCACAACCACCCCCACACACTTCCTACTTCCCAAATGTATAAAATCCTTGAGAACACGCCAATCCCTGAGGCTTCTTTGCCCCAACACCTCTGGGTACCCTCTCCATGCACTACAACACTAGTCTTAAAGCCTTTTAAAAAAAAAGATAATTATTAATTTTCCTTGGAAATTAAGCATACCAGCTCCTTCCAGATTAATCAAGGAGCATCCACCAACCAGCAGGACTGACCTGTTTTGGGAGGGTTTCTTTTGACTTTCATCCAGTCAAAAGTCTGCGCTGGAGAAGATGTCTCCGATGCAGGGGAGCGACAGGCTTCTTGGTGGCTGGCGTGGAGAGGGGACAAGGAGTTATTATACGTAGCCAGGGCCAGGCTTTGGTGCTCTTGTCCATATGAGTGGTGAATGTACTGAGGCGAGCCCACCGCGCCCCCGGCATAACCCTGGTGGTGGTGGTGATGCTGGACCATGGGAGATGAGAGATTTCCAGAGTAAACAGCGGGAGCGCACTGGGGGTACCCACCACTTACGTCTGCTTCCTGATTTAACGCGTAGGGGCTGTAAGGCGCACTGAAGTTCTGTGAGCCATAGCTTGGACCACAACTCGAGTGAGAGTAGGACACCCCCAGGTTCCCGGAAGTCTGGTAGGTAGCCGGCTGGGGGTGGTGATGGTGGTGGTGGTGGTGTTGGTGAGGCGAACCGATCTGCACCCCCCTGCCCACTAGAAAGCGGTCGTCGCCGCCGCAGCTGTTGGTACTGACCGCGCACGACTGGAAAGTTGTAATCCCATGGTCCGAGGGGTAGGCTCGGGCTGAGCAGGTCCCCGAGTCGCCACTGCTAAGGATGGGGTATTCCAGGAAGGAGTTCATTCTTGCATTGTCCATCTGTCACTGAGTGACCTGGTCCTGCGAAGCCCTGGGTGACCGTGCCAACTTTCTCACTTCCTCCATGGGGCCTGAGAAGAAAAATGATATAGAAAGTATAGTGCGCAAGAGGGGGGGGCGGGAGGGCGGAGGACGCTAGGGGAGGGGCACGTGACGGTGTCAGCCAATGACTGAGCCTCCTGCAAAAGTTTGCCGGCTTCCGCGGTGATGGATCACCGTTTCAGTGGCATTTAAATCCCCGGCGCTCCGCCGTCTAGGTGACGCGCAGTCGCCCCCCCAGGCAGCCCAGGCGGCGGCAGCTGCTGCGGCGACTGCAACGGCCGATTTGGAGTGCTGGAGCGAAGAAGAGCAAAGGCTGCCTTCTGCGCGCGCCCGACTCCGCTGCCCGCCCCGCCAGGCCTCCGGGAGGTGGGGGCTGAGAGGCGTCCCCCGCTCCCGCTCCCTCCCCACTGTGCACTGAAAGATGAACTGGCGAGAGGTGAGAAGGGAAGAGGGCTCCCGGCTCTCTCGGGGCGCGAGTTAGTGGGCCGGAGTTCGCCGGGTGGCCGCAGGTTCGCGGGCCCAGCCCGGAGCGCGCCCAACCGGAAGGCGGGGAATCCGGCTGACACCGAGCCCCGGGTTCCCAGGCCGCCTTCTCTGCTCTGAGGCTGGGCTGGGAGACCATGGGGCTGTGAGGAGCGCACAGAACTGTGGCAGAGGGCGAGGCTGGGCCACCGGCTCTCCAAGCGCGGAATGGAGAGGGAAGAGCGCAGAGGGCTGGCTGGGAGGAACTCGGGTGGGGGTGAAGGAGACGAGGGCAAGAAAAGAAACTTCCCTTCTTCTAGGAGAGTCTCCGAAACCCTCTCCCCACAACCCCCGCTCTTCATTAGCATGGCAATGAGGAGTTTCTGTAATTCGACCGGGGAAGGGGGGGTGCGGAAGAGCCCTGGAAACAGGGATCGCCGGAAAAGGCCGGGGGCGGCCGGGCTCTTCTTCCCCACCCTCCCTCTCTCCTCGCTCTCCGCCGTTTCTTTCCCACTCAGTTTTGCACCGGGAGCCCTCCGGGATGCGGAGCTACTCGACCGCCGGATTTTTAGGGGTAGGAGGCGGGGGAGAGAGATGACGCTGGCGGACGTGGCCAGCGTGGGGGCCGGGCCGTGCGCTGCAGGCCATCTGCCGGCGCCCGAGACCCAGGAGCCTCCGCTCCCGCGTGGGCCTCGCAGGGCCGGTCCACAGCTCCAACAAAGTAGCTGAACTCCCTTCGTTGCGTTCCTCTTTTTCTGGAGGGGAATGTTAGAAGAGAGAGAGTGCTTCCTTTTGTAACCTTCCTCATTCTGCTGCGCGTCTAGAGTGGGTGTGGGGACTGGCAGGTGGGAGGAGCGGTGGACAGATGGCTGATGGTGGACAGAACACTTTACCCCAACGACACCTCCTCCCCTTTCCAAATGGCTGGGTAGTTGCTTATGAGAACCTTCAAGTCTTTCCTTAGAGAGACACGTGAAAATCTGAGCGTCATCCCAGGCCAAGGGTCCTGTTCCCCATCACCCTCCTTCTACCCTGACGCTGCTGAGGTCGTTAATTGTTGTTTACTATTAGGTTTCACGTCAACCCTGGGCTTGTAGAGAGGAAAAAGCCAAACGGAGACCAATAATTGATGCAGTCTTGGGTAGGAGAAATCGAGAGCTCGTCCAGGAAGCTTTGCAGCCAATGCTGTATAAATTTTACTCCAACCATGTGTACAATGTTGGAATCAGATGAAATTTATAGTGAGGAATGTATGTGGATTTGGGGTTTCCACTCCCCTTCAGCCTTTCCTCCCCTGTTAGAACAAGGAAGGTTTTTTTTTCAAGGCAGGCACATTTCAAATATGTTAGTCACCCTTTCAGTCTTCTGTATTCTGTTCTCCACCTACCGAAGCTCCCCCAAACCTGTCCCCTCAAGAGGGAAAACCCATGCTGACTCTGGACTCCCTCAGTAACAATGAAACATTCTCCCCAAACACTTCCTTTCAGGTTGGTATTTCTCTGTGACTTTGATCCATTCCAAGCATGGTTAAGAGGGAGCAGGGGCAGGAAAGAGCCGCTTCCTGGGGTTGGGCAGCCACCCCTGCCCCAGTTTCGGCTCCTGGGAATCCTCCTTCTGGAGAAGGGGAAAGGCAAGGCGGTCCTCCTGGAGGTGGCTTCCTTGGGAGCGCCAGCTTCCAGCGGCAGGGAGAGAAAGAGCTCCTGTGGGGAGTGGGCAGGATGTGAGGAGGTCGGTGCTGGCTATGAGAGCAATCCTTCCTCCAAGCCTGAGCAAGTCAGTACATTTTCCCCCGCTGCCTCATTCCTGTACCTTGGTTGCCCTCCTCAGCCTGGGTTTGCAGGACTCCCTCGGCTGCAGGGCGCCTGCCACAAAGCCGACCCCGGCAGAAGCCACTCTCCCTCTGCTAGTTCGCTGCTTCGGCGCTGCTCTCCCTCAGCCTCTCTTCTCTCCTGGCCTCTTTTCGGGGGTATCCTGGGTGGAGTGTTTTTCTTGGGATCACGAGCTTGCTCTCGCACACAGGCCCACAGACACACAGGCCCGCGGCCGCCCTCCTCCGTTTACTGTTCCCGGCTCCCCGCAGGCGGGGCGCTCGCAGCCGGGCTGGCTATGCCTCGGCTGGCAGCCCAGAGCGCCGCTCTCCGGGAACGGCACACAAAGGCAGCCTCCCCTGGCCTCGAGCCCTTAGGCTTCTGTAGCTCGGTTCTTTCCCCACACCCCTCCCCCAAGAAATGCTGGGGGCTGTTCCACCGAGTAGGAGATCCTTGGCCCTCTAGGCAAGTAGGTCAGCGCCCCAAGACTCTTTCAACGCCTTGGGAGACTGGGTGAAAGGCGAGCTTGGTTACGCTTAAAATGATCGCCTACAAGCGGTTCTCTTGGCTCAAAACGCCTCTTTCAGGGCTCTTATACTAGAAAGGAAAGGAATGAGGAGGAGACAAAACGCCGCCGAGGCCCTGAACTGTTCATGGCATACGCGGCTCAGCCAAGCTGTTGTTTTAAAAGAGCAATAAAAATGAATTATGACTAAACGCCTTCTAACTTAATGCTTTCAGACGGGGATCCCCGGCAAATACGTAAGAGGATTTTTATTTGTGCATGTGTTCCTGCAATTGATCTCTTTGATGACATTTTCATTCATAGAAAGCGTTTGATTTATGAGCGTAGGACGAATCGCATCCAGGAGCTGCGCAGCCCTGGCCGCGACGGGGACGCCCTGCTCCGCGATGAGCTTGGGGCCAGAAACCAGCCATAGTCCCCACACTCCGCCGCGGCAGCTGGGATTTAGCAGAGGAAGGGGCGAGGGAAGGTAGGGAGCAAACCTATGAAGAAACATCGCGTTGTCATTGGAACTTCCAAGCCTTTGCTGTTAAGAGCCAGGTTCTTAAATCAACCCGTCCCACACACATGTTGCTTACATGCTGCGTTTTCTCACGGTAAGTAAGTAGGCATCAGAAGAGAGCTCAGAAAGGGAAAAATAAACGTGGAGAGACCTAACAAGGGAGGGGGAAAAAAGCAACAACCCAGTGACACACCCTAGATCACATTTTATTGATATTTCATTTAAAGTGCTTTTCTCTCTCTCTAGAACCTGGGTTAATTTATAACCTAGGGTGTAGAAACACACCATTTTAAATCTCAACTTGCTAACCTGACTTCGAAGCATTAATGATCCATTATTAGCAATGTAAACAGATTTAAGAATGAAATATTGATTTTTCTGACCCTGAAAAAAAAAAAAAAGAATCCTAGAGTGACTGAACCAGAGGATTGGAAAGAACATTTTCTGGGGTGCATTTTCCAGATAGTAATCACTGTTTTGTTTCATTTTTGTTTTTCTCTGTCTTTTAGGTCTGTTTTGCCTGAACCCATCAAGAGCTGGGAGATTAATCAACCACACTGAAAATGTGGAGAGATTTATGGGGGAGAGGGTTGAAATGTGGATGTTTGAAACAAAAGTGTATAAATAAATGAATTGTTGATAACTTAGTTATTGACCTGGAGACTGGTAGCTTGTTAAAGAAACTCCATGTTACTCATTCCTGGAGTTGGAGGTTTCTGTAGGCACTTTATTTCTCCACTTTCAAGAGCTTGGGCTTGGCCCAAATCTTAGACTGCCCAATTCTGTCTCTATTACCAATTTAAATCTATGGCTTGAACCTGTGCACTGAAAATCAAATCTATTCCCTTTAAAAAGGAGGAGGAGAAGAAGCAAAAAAGCAAAAACAAACAAACAAACAACAACAACAAAAAAAAAACACTTATTAGAAGCCCTAGTCATTTTTTGGCTTTCTGTTTTGTTGCTGTCCATTGAAGACTTTGAACATGCCGCCTTAATAAATGTATTAAAATTGAAAAAGAGGATAAATTGTGACTAGAATTTTATTCACCAAGTTAGACTAAAAGAAGAAAAAGAAACTGTTATGAGCCTTGAAAAAGGGGAGAAAAATAAGAAAGCTATTTATAGTAAAGGAGAATTTATTCTACAAAAAATATGCATGACAATGCATCCTAATGTAATACAAAAATAAAAAGAAAGTGAAGATACAATAGATGATCACTTTCTTGCAGGTCTCATATTGCTCTCAGGAAATCACATAAAGGGTGGTTGAGTTAGGTTTAAAACAACTAAAACTCCAAAATAATCTGTAAAAGATGGCTCTGTTTGGAACTGGGTCAGGGAATCACTAAACAGAAAATCCTCAACATTTAAAGGAGGGAAGGGTAGGTCAAGAAGAAAATAAAAATAAACTCCAGAATAAAAGAAGGCAAAACCACCTGGTCAAAGGGGTTTTTGTTTTGTGATGCTTTGTTTTGCTTTAATGTTTTTAGTAATTCAGATGCTGCAAGTCGATTGTGGTGAGTGTGTCTGTAAAAAAGTCAAAGCTGTCAGCTGAAATATCTACGGGACTGTCGAGGGAACCTGGCAAACTGGGTGAAACTGTGTCTGAAAGCTGCAGGCAGGAATCTGTGGAGAAAACGTTAAAGTCCTGCAAAGAGGGGACCTCGAGGGCCTCAGGACTGTCATTGTTTAGGCCAGCTCCACAGTTCTGGCCCATTGTTGACAAGCAGTTAGGAACAGTGGGTGACTGGTGCTGAAAATGTTTCAGATTTTTCTCATTGCTGGTTAAAGGCGAGACTGGGAAACTTTGGGAGTCGCCATTGTGTCCATTGGGAGCCTGCTGCTGAGAGAGGGCATTTTGCTGAAAAGTGTAGCCTTCCCTCTCCAGAAGGGCCCCAGAGACGCTAAGGGCTTGCTCAAAGAGCGTCTTCTCTTCCTCGTCCTCCTCTACTTTCTCGGAGTCCTCAAGGCTTTTACATTTCCCTTCGCTGTTTTGGTTTTCCTTGCACTGGGTCTGCCTCTTGTGCTTCATCCTCCGGTTCTGAAACCACACTTTCACTTGTCTCTCAGTCAAATCCAGTAGCGCTGCAATCTCCACCCTTCGGGGTCTGCAAAGGTACTTGTTGAAATGAAATTCTTTTTCCAGCTCTAGAAGCTGTGTGTTGGTGTAAGCAGTTCTCAGGCGCCGCGATCCCCCGCCGCTGCCATCGGCGATTTCCAGGGATTCTGCGGAAAGGGAAACCAACAAGAGACACACGCACAGTTGGAGGTGGAGGGGTCCGAGCGGGGTTATTCCACTGGAGAATAAATACAGCAGAAAAGATCAACTGCAACAAAATGGCCGCCCCTGGATGCAGTAGAGCTATTGTGCTGCCTTTCCTGGGAGCCCAGCCTGGGGAGACCCGGTCTCCTCCTCGTCTACTGAATTCATGCCTATGACTCCCCTCAACCTCTTCATCCGGGAGCAAACTTTATATTAGTCACAACACAATTTATAATTAATGCATCAGCTGCTTAGCTGAGCAAGAGCGATCTATCACTCTTCATTACTGTCAAAAAGCCAAACTCTAGGACAACTAGACAGGAGGAGGTCAGTTCCAACTCAAATAAATCATCCCACATTGCACAAGTTCGGGAAAGTTTCCCCCCACTTCCTAAAAATATATATGTCTCATTGTAGAGCACAGGATCCCCTTTCCTCTCCATCAAACCCACTCCTGAGCCCACAGGGGCAAGGACAAGGCAACCAAGCATCTCTCCCTCTCCTCCTTCTCTCCCAGCCCATTCTCCCCTCCCCCAACAGCCACTCTCGGGGCAGCCCGGAGAAGGAAGAGGGTCCCGGAGACCTGGGGCCAAGTCTTTGGACTGACCTTTGTGGCTGAGGCAAGCAGGGCCGGTGGCTGCGGCGGCGGCGGCGGCGGCGGCCGGCGGAAGTGCGGTTTTCTTGGCCGCCTTCTTCTCCTTCATCCAGGGGTACTCAGGCGGCTGCAGGGCGCCGGCGGGCACCGGGCTGCCGCGGCTGCCCGCGGGGCTCGGCTTGGGGCGGCCGCCAGCGCCGTGGCGAGGGTGATTGCCGGGGTTCAGGCTGGGAATGGTCTGCTCAAAAGGAGGAGGAATCAGTGTCGAGTGTGAAAGCGTCGAGGTCTTGATTGATGAACTTTGAAATGTATCAGCGACAGGGGGAAAAGATGTCAGGCACTCAGCGAGCGACGGCTGGCTATTGATAAAACCAATCTCTCGCTCAAATTCGTAATTCATGGCCTTCTCCTTGGAGCCCCCTCAGAGAAAAAGTTCCCTCTTTTGGAGGGGCTTTGGGGGGGCAAGGCCCAGGAAAAAGGCGAGCGCAGAGGAAAAAAAAATCTATCATAGAATATCGCTGCTAGGGTGTTTTTTTTCTAATTCACTGATTACAGCCGTATGGGGACCGCGCTACTATTAAACTATTGAATTCATGGAGACAAGGTTGAAATTGGACCGAATTGGCTGTCACATGATTGCTTCTGCCCAATGACAATTTGGGCTTTAATCAAAAGAAGCCACTGTCTGTTTGATTGATCCAAAAAAGTCGGGAAGGAACGCCTCATTGGGGGCCAGCGAGGCTTTATTTACACTTTTTTCAGGGCAAAAATACATATATGTTGGTGTGGGTGGGGATGTCCCGGAGTACGTGGGGGCGAGGGTGCCTGAGCGCCTCCTGATCTGCAAGGATCTGGTGTGTGCGCCTGGGAGTATGTGTGTGTGAATGTGTGCGAGTGTAAGCCCTGCTGACGGTCCCGCCGGCGGCTGCCCTCTGCCTCCCCCGCACACTCCGCGCATTGTTTGGGACTGTCGGGAAGACGCCTCGCACCTCACAAATCATTTAAGCACCTCAGTCTGACGCCTACAGTCATTAACAAAGTAATCCATTAATCTTCAAAGTTTTGACACCCGAGGGCCCTGCATCCCAGCCACATAAGTTCTGTTAAAGCAGGAGAAAGGAGCAGAGGGAGAGAGGAGATGCGAGAGGGAGAATAAAGAGAGAGGGAAGAAGAGAGAGATGGAGAGATGGAGAAAGAGAAGACAGAAAAGAGAGAAGAAAAGAAAGATTTTGGTTGGGAGGGGGTCCTCCTTTTCGTTCCCTTTTCCTCCTTCACTTTTCCTGAAACCAGTTCCTGGATCTCAAAACTGATCTCTCTCGGTCTGTTTTGCTTCCTGCCTGTCTTTTTCCCTCTTTTTCCTCTTCTCCCCCTTTCTCCCTTCCTCTCTCTTATGTCCGCCTCCCCTTCTTCCCGCAGCCTCTCGCCCCCCTCCCAGTGTGCAGCCCAGAGTCTGTGCCCCCGGCCCATTGTTAGCAGGCTATTCCACGGCAGCTTTGCATCTGGCTCCGGCGGGAAGCGGAAAACGGGAGGCGGCTCTCAAAGCTTCCCGACCTTCCTGCGCCATCAACTTCTCAGGAGTGGCTGGAGAAAGATGCATGTGCCAAGCGAGACAACAACCCCAGGTCCATGTGTCCAAATCCCCGTAGCCAGGGCGGCGGCCAGCCAAAGAAATGCCGCCCCGAGCAGGCGCGTGCGGCTCCTGGCATTCTGGGTTTCATACCCGTAGGGCTTGGGTGCGGTGAGTATTTCCGATTTCCAGAAAGTCTGTTGGAAGTTACTAGCAAGGAAAGAGAAGATGCTTGTTCCTCTCTCTCCCTCCCTCTCTCTTTTTTTCTACCCTTCTTCTTGTCCTTGACGCTCTGGCTGAGGGCTGGTTGGTTTAGATACAGCGAGTGCTCCCTGGCAGCCTGAACTGCCTCCCACACCTTCCTGATCCTTGGGCACCGGGGATGTTTGCTTCCGGGTTCTGTTGTGGGAAACAGCACTGCGGGGGAGAGGAGGCGACCCAAGGAGGAATTATAAAGATTCTCGTTCTCCTTCATTCTCTTTTTCCAATTCGGAGACTTGAGACTGAGCGCATCTTGGACGGTGCTAGAGGGTTCAAAAGATAACACCTTTAGGTACCAAAAAATAATTTTTTAAAAATCCACCAAGCCAGAAGGAGGTAAGGAGGCTGAGAGGTAGATCTGGAGGTACCTCTTTTCCCCCCCAAACCCTGAGGATGGTGATTCGCTTTTGCTTCCTTTGATATAGACGAAGTGATCAGAGTCCCCCAGGCCGGCAGGCATCAATGGCAGGAAAATAAATCATTCTGATGGCCAGGGAGAGAGAGGTTGGAGGGGGAGAAAAATCTACGTAGAAAACAAGAAAGGCCAACCAAGGAGCAAAGGCAGGACCCCATCTCTGAGGCCGGCATCAAAGAGGGTTTGGGGTGGAAATCAGATATAAGTGGCCTATATCATTGACCAGCCCAGAGCACTGCCTTGCAGATGGAGATGCTATTTCGGAAAATGTGAGGTTTTTTAGTTTTCTTGCTTTTATTCCAAACAAAGCTCCGAAGGAAGTCTGGGCGCGATCAATCTTGCTCACCAAAAGCCTTGACAGCTTCTAGCCCTTAAGAACACATTTCAGCTTCCAGCTCCTTCCAAGATAAAATGTGACCGAGCAAAGAGGAGAGCAGGAAATGCAAGTAAATAAGGAAAACTAGTCTTTAAAATATATATATTTTGGCAGTGAAAAGGATTAGGGCTCCTTTTAGGAAGGGTGCTTTGCGGACTCTGGGATGGCGGCTTTTGGCATTTGTTTTTACCAGAAAATAGTATAGGCTTAAGGGAAGGGGGGTGCAGAGAGGGAGCAGCGCTGCCCCCATATCTCTGAGGCTTTGTCAGGGGCTGCGTGGGTGAGAGCTTTCTGCCGCCTCAGCCGCCTTAATTCAAATACCATCTGGAAGAAAACCCTTTTCTTTGACCACTCAACACTGAAATCTTCCCCAAGTCTATTACTTTAACTCATGAGATATTTTAATAAGGATTTCTTTTTAATATCTAGGAAACTGGGGGGTGAAGTCAATACTATTTTCTTTGAAAGCCAAAATGAATGTCTTGACTGGTAAGATATGGGAAATTACATTAGAATCTCATTTTAAAATCTTAGCCCTGGGGGAAGGAGGAAGCCTCCAAACCATCCCTCCCTCAGCTAAAGAGTAGATTTCAGAAGTGGGTTCAAATAGTGATATCCCTGAAAGATCTTCATCCTTAGATGAAGATCTTTATTTTTCTAGGTAATTTTACTAGCTGTTCCTTACTTTTCCAGGTAATTTTACACGTGTCTCTAAACTGATTACTTAAAAGAAGACTCCTGTATCTGCTCAGCGTGACCAAAAGGTGGAAGCCCTAGTCCTCACAAAGCCTGGTTTTGCAGCCTCTGCATTTCTGAGGTGCGCCATATTTTGGCACAGAGGTTGAGGTGTGGAGAGCAAATCTATTTCTCCCATAGCCCAAACTCTTTAAAAATGATATATATAATATTATATATATATATATATATATATATTTCAACAGCCTTAGGACAGATATGGGGAAAGCACCTCTGGGTGTGAGAGAAACACTGAGCTCTCCGCAGCAGCCTGGCTTGGCATCCTCCGAGCCTTTTCCTTAAACTGAGGAGTTTCTCTAAAAGCAGCTCGTTGGTACCCAGCAGTACCCAGAAATGGCTCCAGTGCCTGCTTCTAAGAATAATCTGAGGGAGCTTCACAGGGGGAAGATAACGGCCATGATGATGGATATTTTGGATTGCAAACAAAATGGCGACATTTTCCTCTTCTGCCTCTGAAAGATACAATCCAGGGAGAATAGGGATTTATTTCTCACATCCGATGCTCTTAATCCCCAGACGAAAGCAGTTCCTCACTTCCAGCTCTGAAGCGGGTGATGATGGGATGCAGGTCTGAGGTTTGCATTTTCTGAATTTGGTTCCTTTCTCGAGGAATCCTTAAATCTGAAGATGAAAATATTTCCCTTTACTGTGCCTTCTTTTGCCTCTACCAGCCAGTCAGTAAGCAGCCCTATCTTAAATCCAGGAGTGGAAATGTAATATTTAGCTCCTGTAACATCAAATCAAAAAAGTACTTATAAAATTGCATTTTTATTACAAAGATACTGATCTCCTTGCTCTCTCCCCCTCCCCCTGGGGCCATAAAAAGAAAGCTGGGAGGGAAGGAGAGGAAATAAATTCAGAGAATGCCAAATACTACATTCAGTAGGAAGCTGATGCTGGGATTCAGGCAGTCCAGGGAAGGGACTGGCTCAGGTGACTCTCCCCAGCTCCGTCCTCCGTTTGCTGGAGACCCGGGTGAGCCTCAGTCCCTTTCAAACTGTTTCGCTCCGCGTGCAGATTTTAGGAACCATTCTTTCCTTCTGACACTGTAATAGACTGCAAAGCATCCCAGAGGAGACCAGGAGTCCGATTGCTCCCGGAAAGTGCTCGGCATCCTCTGCGCGGCTGGCTAATCCCGAGGTTTAGACGTTAGTTGGTCCGCTTTGACCCGAGCAAGAGCGTGGAGCAGAAGACCGCCCTGCGTTATCCCCCTGCTCGGCCGCGGGGCACCTGTGCGCTCCCGCTGCGCCTTGGGCCGGGCTGCCTTTGTTTCTTTAGAGCACAGCACTCGGCAGCCCCTGCGCCCTCGACCTACCTCCGCAGCAGCTGGGAACCGGGCAGCCCAGCGGGCCGGCCGCACGGCGTTACCAGAGCTGCCGCAGCCGCCTGGAGCCCCAGCCGCCATCCTGAGAATTCGCCGAGCTTCCAGGCGAATAGCCTGGCCAGGCCCCATGCTGGAGCCGAAGGGCTGCTGAGCCCGGCCTGCTCTGCCGGCTCGCCTCGGCCTGAATTCCACGCAGACCCACGTCTTCGGCCAAGGAACCCCTTCTTAACACGTATATTATTCAGAATAAAAACTTTATTTCTTTTTGTTTCTCAGAATGTGAGCAGCAAGGAATGTAGAATTCTCAAAACAAATCTAGTATTTTTCGCGTTTACAGATTTTTTTTTTTTCGGTTTTGCCGGATGTTACAAACCTAAATCACTGTTTTCAAAAGCTGGATCTTCTCTGGTTTTATTGCATCATTACCGTTTAAAGGAATTATACTTCCCTTTGAAATAAAAAAAAAATTCTAAGTACGCCAATACACAATTGAACAAAAGGCCCAAGAACCCTCTGAACCATCAGGGTACAGAATTTCTTTAATATAAATACGAACGGATGGGGATAAATAATATTTAAAACTTAGATTATTCAATGCTTGCAAAAAAATATAAATAAATCTGACTGTTCACCAGCATACACACACGGAAAGACGTACACTTAGTCATCCTTGCACAGGGAGCCCCTGTTTCAAAGCGCCTTTGATTTTTTTTTTTCTCATTCTTTATAAGAAGTGCAATTAAAAAACTTAAAATTAAAAAAAGTAATCGCTTCCCCTCGGGAGCCATAATGTACGAACAAATTCACATTGAAAACTCGACTAGAAAATTTGTTCATATACCCTGTTTCTGATCAAAGAGTGGAGAAGGTAAAGGGTGCAGGGCCAGTGGCCTATCGAGGAGCAGGAAGAGATAAATATCGCTACTGATACAGCCATTCCAGCAACCAAGATTGCTACGTCACATAAACTATAAAAACGCCTTCCCAACGAGGGGGGAAACCGGGAAAGGAGTGCGGGGGCGGAGAAGAGAGAAAAGGAAGGAAGGAAGGAAGGAAAGGGCAGGAAGAACCTAAAAAAAAAAAAAAAAAAAAGCAACCAAAGAAAAAAGGTGGGTGGGGGGAGACTCTCCTGGCGCATAGCACCAGCCCACCATCACAGGTGGGTGAGCTTGGGTGCTTCCTGAATTCTTCCCTGAGAAGGATGGTGGGCAGTAAGGTCCGTGTAGGTGGGGTGCGGCTCCCCAGGCCCGGGCCCGTGGTGGTGGCCGCTGCCCAGCGGCCCGGCGCCCCCATAGTCCATGGCGCCCGAGGCAGCGTGGGGGAGGTGAGTTAGACCAAAGAGGGCTGGCCCAGAGTTGCTCATGGGCTCCACGTAGCTGCCCCCCACGAAGACGGGGCTTCCCTGTATGTGTGGGGTCCCATAGCTGCCGTTGCCCTGCAGGCCATGAGCGTGCGGGTCATAGTCGGGGGTGCCCCCTGCGCCCGCCCCTGCCGCCGTGTAGCGCTTCTGTGGGGGTGGTGGGGGTGCACAGCTGGGCAGGGATGCAGGGTAGGAGGTGGGGGGCAGCCCGTAGGTACCCTGGGGGGGCTTGGAGAAGGGCGGGGGCGACTGGGGCTCGTACGGGACGCTGTTGACCAACGAATGCATAGAGTTCAGATAGCCACCGGCGCCGGGGGGCACGGGACTGCGACTTGGAGACTGGCCCCCCGATGAGGTTAGCATGCCCTTGCCCTTCTGATCCTTTTTGTACTTCATGCGGCGATTCTGGAACCAGATCTTGATCTGGCGCTCAGTGAGGTTCAGCAGATTGGCCATCTCCACCCGGCGCGGCCGGCACAGGTAGCGGTTGAAGTGGAACTCTTTTTCCAGCTCCACCAGCTGCGCACTCGTGTAGGCCGTGCGCGCGCGCTTGGACGAAGCCTGCCCCGGCGGGCTCTTATCGCCAGCGCAGCTCTCGCCTGCGAGGACAGAGAGAGGAAGAGCGGCGTCAGGGGCTGCCGCGGCCCCGCCCAGCCCCTGACCCAGCCCGGCCCCTCCTTCCACCAGGCCCCAAAGGTTCCTGAATCTGTCAGGTCCCAGAGAGAAGAAGGAACTAGGTGCTCTTCTCTTCTCCTGGTGGGTAAAACAGCGGTACTCCCCATTCAGCCAAGGAGCAAATCACAGGCTTCTCAAGGGGGAAAGGACAGAGAAGTAGAACTCCCGGTTTGCCTTCCTGGTCTGGATTTTCTTTTTAGAGCTATTAACTTTCTGACTCATTTACTGGTCCCTTTGGCCTATCGGACAACAGCCTCCCTGTGGGCCAGTCTCAGCATCTCCATTCCCTTCACAGTAACTGAAATGTGGGAAACCTAATGTACACACTCATTCCCCTCCCACACTGTCCGACAATAATTAGGCAGTAGCTTCAACTGGCCACTTTTTCCTCTCTACCCAGAGGAGATGGGCAGACTGGAAACCTCAAACTTTGGGCAGAGAAGGCCCAAAGAAGAAATCCCATTGAAGGTATTTCTGGTGGGGAGGCCTAGGCCCTTCATGCCGTGTCCTATTCTTTAGGGTTCCCTATGTCATCAAGCAGCCTGCCCCGGCTTTTGTCCACTAATCTTGTACCCTTCTGTCCTCCCTGGCCCCCCAAATCCTAGCTATGGAGGTCCCAGATGCTCAGGCTCAGAGCAGGGCACTGGCAACTGGAGAAGGCAGGGGCAAAGGTAACCAAAATGCTAGGAAGCCTAAGGCCTGGGGCCTTTCCTCTACTGGAGCCTGCTTCCAGGAGGCCCATGTGGTTCCCATTAGGATGACAAGTCTGCATCCCCCTCCTCCAGGAGATCTTTGGCTGCTTTCATTGTACTAAGTCTGAGTAGGGTCTTCCCAGAGGTAAGGCAGCCACTCCATCTGCTGGAGCAAAAATTGGCTCTGATTATAGGCAAAGCATTGATTCTGTCTTGGAGGGTGATTAGGCCTGTTTTTATTCTGCCACATTGTAGTATGGGGAGGATGTCACTGTTTTATTAGAAGAGCTATGCTAAAAAGATAGACAGTGGAGCTCAGGTTGTTTCTGCACAGAGGTCCTAACTCCAAGAGTGGAGCAAGAAGGGATACCAACTGCACTAGACCCTACTTGCCCTTGGAGAAGTCCAGAGGGACTCCCAGCAAGTCTCTGGGGTTTTCCAGCCTACAGAGGCCTATCACCTCCCTAAGTTGCAAAGACTCTGAAAACCTTTTTGGTGGGCAGTGGTGTGGGAGCAGTGAATTCCAGATATGCTCCATCACTCCTAGGTTGTGCTAGATGTCGTGGGCAGTAGCTCCGGGACCGGGAGCCAGGCCAGAGGACCCTCTTCCAGAAGGCACTCCTTTACCTGAGCTAGAGCTGCTGGTTTTCTGCTTTGTGTTTTGTCGAGACTCTTTCATCCAGGGGAAGATTTGTTTGGCCACTGTGGGTGAGTTGAGCAGGGGGCTCTTGGCCGCGTTGGCGGGGGTGGGGTTGCTGCTGGCATTCTGAGGTGGAGAGACAGAAGAGGGAGGCGGGGGCGCGGCAGGGGTAGGTGCAGGGGGCTGAGGTGGGGGCTGAGGCGGCTGTGGGGCAGGGGGCGCGGCCTGGGTCGGCGGCGGGTGCAGGGGCGGCTCGCCCAGGCTTGGAGGCTGGCTAGGTGGGGCGCTCAGGCTGCGCAGGCACGCGTCACTCAGTTCGTGTGCCTTGGGGTGGCCTCCGGCGCTGGAGGGAGACTGGAGGGAGCAGGCGGGTCGATGGTACTCGCCGTCGGCACCCAAAGCGACGGACGACGGGTACGGCTGCTGATTGGCATTATAAGCGAACCCGTTGGCTGCCTGGTAGGGGTAGCCACCGTAGATCGCCGAGCTGTCGTAGTAGGTCGCTTTTTGCATCGCGTTGTTTCACGATCTTGATCGCACACTCTGACAGGGGTTTGACACTCGTGAGGGCGCACATTGGCACGCCCCCGCGGTCACGTGACACTCCGCCGCCAATGGCCGCCCCGCGCAGACCTAGGGGGGCGAGAAGCGCAGCGCGGTGAGGGCTCCGCGCAAATCCATCTTACTCTCAATAGCTAAGTGACATGAAAGCCATAAAAGAAAAAGTGGTCAGCAATATTTAGCAGCACGACTTGGCCCCGGGCGCAGGGAGCCGCGCTATAAAAAACCGCTGGAATTTACTGGCAGCTACAAATATTTGCTTAACTTGCGTCTGGAGTTGGGGGATTTTCCGGGGAGAGAGAAGGAGAACGAGTGAGGGCTGGAAGCCGACTCTCAGGAGCCGGGGTCCAAAAGGAGAACGGCTTGATAGGCTAGAAAGGAACAAGGCTGGGAGCTTTCTTTTCCAGGGAAGAAGAAACTTGGGGTGTCGCTTAGTTTCTGCTCCTTGGCCTCCTCCAGAGGGCCCAAGACTCCTCCACTCTGGGAATCTTGGGAAGGGAACCAGGAGGCAAAGGGGAGCTTGGGTCGCCAATGTTTTCTGGGCTTTAGGACTGATGTTTGCCAAAAGAGCCCTGACATGGAGTAACTTCCCACCCAGCTCCTTCTTGGACCTTCCTGCTCCCAAAAGAGGTTTGCACAAAAAATTTTCAGGCAATTTGCCCCATCCAACCATGCTGGATTTCAGAAGCTGAGCTTGTTAGGCAGTTAATCCACCTTGTTGGGGATATGACTCACCTCCTCCAAATGAACCCCTTGTGGCCAAGAAGGGGGGAGGGAAAACTTTGGTTGGAACACATTTCGCGTGTGTGTGTGTGTGTGTGTGTGTTTGCAGGAGGGACCAACAGTAACACCTCACCCAGCAAGTCACAACTAAAATCCTGGAGAGTTCTTTACTCCTTTCCTCTCCCTGTTTCTTAGGCACTTCCCAGCAAGCCACCCCCACTTCTTTACTTCCTCCCCCCGGTTACAGGAGGTTCCCAGAACCTCCTATCTTGGACTTTCTGAGGTGCTGTTATTCGGGGCAACTATCAAATTCTACCTGTTAAAACATGATGGATTAGAGAGAAAAAAAAACCCTCCAGGAACCTGAAAAACCAGCGTTCATCTCCATGACCACGGCTTGAACTCTCCTTCCAACTTAACGATAATAGGTTCTGTCTTAGAAACTGCTATGTAATTTGATGTATGGGGGTCATTTGGCTCCGGACGAGGGATGGAAGCACAAGCCATAAAATCCTGCCAGAGTTTCCTGATCTTTGTGTACTGTTGTTGTTGTTGATATTTGTTACTTGGCCTATTTACCTGCTTCAGAAATTCCAAGTAAAGGATAACCCTGAAAATCTAAAAAGCAGTTGAAAACCCCCTCAACCCTCTTTCATTTAGAAAGCAGTTTGCAAAAGTTCAATCTGTTTTCTTTTTGTTTTCAACCATTGCATGGTCAACCTCTAGTTCTCAGCACAGAAAAGTTCCATGTGAGTTTCAAATATTCACCCGCCCCACACACACACACACACACTCGGAATGTTAGTCCCTCTGACCACTTAAGAAAATTATAACAAATTCAAAAGAAAATGGTTAACATTCAGTCCAACTATATATATTGAGTCCCAGAATTATTCACATTTTCCAGGAATATTAGATGCTTTGTTAACTAGAAAAAAAAGATAATGTATTGCATCTACCAGTAGATGATTATAATTCCATTGCTAATAATGGACTCCTTTAGATTTCATTATTAAGCCAACAATCTGACCAACATCTGCAAAACAGGCACAATTAATTTTCCAGAACCTCAATTAAAAATTACAGCATCCCTTATCCAGAGTTATTGTCAGTGATCATGAGCCCTGGAGCATTGTTCCTCTTTTGGAAATAGGAAGCTACACATACCATGGTTGAAAGTAAATAAATGATAAAATAAAACTGAATAGCAATTTAATGTATCAATTTCCTTTTCTTTTACTGAAAACAGTTCCTATTACATTTGGCAGAGTTAATGTCGGCCATTATAAATTTTTTAGATACCAGGCTTGTGTAAAATAAAATGTCAGGTTAAGAAAATTAGACACTCGAACAGCAAGATATTAGATAAAACAAAATTAAGTTGATTTTGCACATGCAATATTTCTAGTGACTTGCTAATCCATTATCACAGGTTATACCAGCCTACTACTTACTTAAGTCTTTTTATCAAGTTGTGTATTGTTTTGCAAAATAACAAAAATATCTTTGAAAATCAAAGAGCATACAACAGCCCCCATAAACTTAAAATATGAATTCGATTCTGGGATCCCACCAAAATCCTTCCCATTGTTTGAGGTCAGCAGACCACTACCTTGGAGCTCATACATCCCCACACCCCAACCCAGCCCCCAAAGTTTGCAACCTAGTAAAGAAGTTGGAGATTTGCCAGCCAGGAAACTTTGCTTTGCACTGCCAAGCAAAGGCTGGGGATGAGGGGAGATTCCTCCACAAAGATCTGTTTCTGGACAATACTCTCCAGGTGCAAGAGCCGAAAAAGAGTTGAAGAGGCTAAATTGAGTGCAAGAAGCAAGCCCTATTGCTTCTCTGGAAGATGTGTCCAAATTCACCCTCCGTCCTACAAACATCGCTCCCTCTTCCCGTTCCCTCCTCTTCCTTAGCCTTCCCTCACCCCAAATCTGAGCGGGTTCGTCGGATAGGAGCCCCGAGTCCCCTGCTCACCTCTCCTCCTCTCTGCAACCCAGAAAAGTTAAGGCTGGGCTAGGGGAGAGACAAGAGGTGGGGGCGGGGATGGGAAAGCGGCCTGAACTCGAAGTGTAAGGGTATCAGTCACTGCCGGGAAGGAAGCTCCGGCTTGTGAACTCTTCTTGAACCGAGATTTAAGTCTGCAGCCATAAATCACCGAGACGTAAACTCCGCCATTCAGCGCCGGGAGCGGCCGGTTGCTGCCCTGCTTACCTTAACTTCTGACGAGCGCCGCAAGCGCAGGCTCGGGCTCAGGCTCAGACACCGGCTCCGGCCCCCGGCCTGGCTCGGCGGCCCGGCCGGGTCCCCTCGGCGCGGGATGGGCACCGACCCTCAGCATCAGCTGAGACGGTAGGCGGGCGGGAGACCCTGAGGCCCGGTCACCGCCGCGCAGAGCGTGGCCGCCTCGCTGCTCCAGCACAGCTCGTCCAGGGCCGACTGGGGCGGCTTGGACCCCCCCTCCACCCACGCCCCACCAACCCTCCCCACACCCCGCCCCCTGCCCTTCCCGAGGGCAGCAGCCGCGGCCCGGAGATAAGCGCTAGTGCGGCGCCGGGCTCTGCCTGGGCTAGTGGCACCGACTTGGGTATGTTTCTTATGAATATTACACGCGGAGTAGCGTCTGGTCCGGGGGTGCGGTGGGGGGTGCTGGGGCGGGCGGGAGGGGAGACCAAGGCGGCTGGGGAAGCGCGGGCCGGTGTGGGGGATGGGGCTAAGGCGAGGGGAGGGACCGGAGGGAGAAGGGGAGCTCGGCTGTGGAGGGAGGAGGGCAGCCTGCCCCCACCCCCCAACGCCCTCCCTCTCCTGCTCCCAGGCGTCACTAAAGTCCAGGAAAATTATGCTAATGAGGACAAACGGCTCTCACAAAGGGGCTATCTTGCTGGGCTCTATTTCTTAGGAATTCGTTTGAGAATAGAATAGAACCACGTATTCCTCTGCCCTGGACACTTCTAATTGTGGGGTGAGGGGAAAAAGAACCAAGAAAAGTGAGTTTCCCAGACTTTGCCCAGTTTATTTCACCTGCAACCCCCAAACAGATCTTTAGGTGGGGGTGTGGGGAGCTGGGATAAGGCTTTTCTCTAGGGACCCCAAAGAGCCAACTGGGCTCTCTTTGGTTACATTTTTAGGCAGAAATTGCTGACATCTTAGCAGCCAGGAGGGAAGTGTCCTGGGAGAGACATGCACTTGTTCCAGCAGTGAAATGGGATGCTCCAGGCTCAGGTACACACAAGGATGTTTAGAAATGCGGATCTCCAGGGCTCGTGTGCCCATTTCACAGTGCAGACACGCAGCTCACCCACAGGGAAGACAGAGAAAGCTCTGACCCCAACAGAAACTGATATCATATATATATATAAACACACACACACGCGCAGGGCAGAGGAATATGTGGTTTTTCATACACACACATATACATATTTTCCTCATTAGTGGGATGGAGTAACGCTGAGCTGGGCAAAAGAAAGGTTCGAATTTGCCTGGTAATATTGCCACAACTTGAAAGAGGATGATTTTCCTCCTAAAGCCTCCTTTGCTCCCCAGCTTCAGAAGCAAACTCTGCAAGGGTTATGAGTGTGGCAAAAAGAGAGAAATGGAGATTTCCTGCAATCCCAAGGCGTCAACGGCGGGTCCTTCTCAAAGGAAGGTGTTAAAAATATAAGTAGTATGTTTAAACTGTCAAGGAGCCAAAGTGTCACCTTAGAGCAAAAACAAAGCCAGGGGAAAAGGGAGAAATCAAAAAGCACTCCGGGCCAGGGTGGCCTCATGCATACCAATGGTTTTTGTCATTTATGGCTGGGCAAGATTTATGACTCGGCGCCCCAAAGCTGTAAACAGAGCACAAAACAGCAAACACTTGCTCCTTATGGCATATTGCAGAGCAACTTGAAAGGGGGAGCCGGCCGCGTAGGAGGTGAGAGCCAGCCGCAAAAATCCGTTCGGCGGCATTTTCTCTTCAAACCCGCCCGGTCGGATGTGGCATTTGAAGAAAGAAGGCGTGGGTCAATAATCAACCCGCACTTTCTCCTCCAAACTGCTGACGCGACTCTCACCGCCTTCTCAGCTTAGCCAGCTGCCGGGAAGGCCAGCTCTCCGTGAGAACCTGCCGGGAGAAGGGATTCTCCGGGCCATAGGGACCGAGGGCGCCCGAGCTAGGGCTGGGGCGCCCGGAATGCATACCTTTCCACTGGCGCCAAGACCCTGCCGGGCAAAACGCGGGGACCGGACCTGAGGAGCCGCGGGAGCCCAGGGAGATCTGAGGCTGGAGCTTCGTTCCGGCCAAGGCCTCTATCCGCCCCGATACGTGGCTCGCGGGCCGCGGGCCTCAGCGGGCAGAAGTGGGGCTCCGACCTCAAGACGAAGGTCCGGCGTCCTGGCACGCAGATGGTCAGTGCCCCAGCCTCAAGCCGCTCTGCTGAAATCCAAAGGACTGGCTTTGGAGCAAACGTAGGCGAGAGGATTTTAAAATAATAATTTATACTGGCAGAATGTTTTTATTTGTCGGTTTGTTACTGGTGTTTTGTTTTGTTTTTTAAGCGAAAATGCCGGTTGTTGATTTCCACCTCCAGAAATTACCGGCCGCCGTCTCTGAGCCCTTTCTAGACAAATTCCACAGCAGTTCACCGGGCTCCGCCAAAACCGCAGAGCTTTTCTTTACTGAGAAGACCCCTTGGTTCCACCAATTCCCCCAAATCCCCATGGCTTCCGATCTCTCATCTAGGGGAACTAGAAGAAAAGATTTTTCTCAGCGCTAGAGGAATACTTGGAGCAGCAAAGGTGCCCGTGGTGCCTTTCTACTGTTCAAGGGGGTGTCCTCCTGAAGGCGTCTAAGAGGGCCTCTGGCGGTTCCAAGGCTGTGCAGCCAGGGAGGAAGGTGAGGAATATCGTGGGTAAGAAGAGGCATCAAAATCACAGAATAGGGAGGAATATTATTGAGGAAATGTACTTGCTTGTGAGGGTGAAGCTGGCATTTTGAGGTAGAAGGGAACCAGCCTTTTTTGATATCTCATAGTTTATACATAATGGACTGACTTTAGCACTTTCATGGGAGGAAAAACCAATCTGAGCTCTATAAATGTGGCTCTTGGCTTCTCACTGTGTATGCTTTTATATAGAACCAGAGTCCATCCTTAGATATTTATTCAGCTTGCTGGCACTGAAGCAACAATAAAAAGATGCCTCTAACAGACCTCTATTCTCTCATTCTTTCTAGCAAAACTATATTATTTATGAGTCTTTAACTGGGTCAAAAATGCACCAGAACTAGGTCATAAATCATATGAAATGCTGACAAGTAATTGAACAGCAATTAAAGCTTACATTTTATTTCCAAGGGGTGTTTTAGAGCACTTGAAAGGGCCTCAGTTAAACATGGTTACTGCTGAGGCCGGCATTGGGGAGAGTAGAAGGGCCCTTTCGTTCTGGGGTAGTAAATCCCACTCAAGTAGGGGATGCCTGATTTGATTTTTTTTTTTTCAAGTACAGAAAGAAATAATCTGTATTTTAAGAAGTCAAAGGGGCAAATCCAACCTCTGACTCCTTATAAGCATCCCTTTCCCTACTCCAAGGAGCAGAATAAAGTAGAGTTTCCTGCACTTTCCAGGGGGTTTCCACCCTTCCCAGGAGTGTGGGGTCCCCAAAGCTCAATTAGCTGGGGTATTCCCAATAATCTGGAAACATGCACTCTAACTTTCATCTGCCTCCACCCTGGCTACAGCTCTGTTTTGGGGGCTATGAAGTGGAGAGATGTCTGCCTCTGCTTCCTGAGGATTCTTGTCTCTGGACTTCCCTCCAACCCAGGCCCCACTGGCCAGTTCTGGAACTCTCCAAGCCAGCTGGGGGTATACAAGGAATGCCCAGATCAGGCACACTGATGAAGTCCAAACCTAATCCTGGCTCCCTCCTTCCTCTGTCTCCTGAATGTTAGAATAAGGAGCCCCTGGACATCCAGCATGCTCACCCCACCCCAAGGCTCTCCTAGGTCTGAGCTGTCTTTCTTCAGCCCTCTGGGGCAGAGGGTGCTCAGGGAAACAATGGCGGGCCCTCCAGTTCAGATCCTTGGGTCCGGCTTGTGGGGAAACATGCTCTGCAATCTGGCACTAAACAAAGTGCCTGGAAGCATCATCAATAAAATGGCAGCGCATCTGCACATTTCCCTCATCGATTTCCCTCTTCCAGCTGCTCAGGCTGCTCAGGTCAGCCCTAACCCTCCATCCCCTGCCTGAAAACACCACCATCGGGGAGAGATTCCTCTTCTCACCCACCCATCCCCCATGCCTCCCAGGCAGTCTAGCCCTGCAAGTCGGTCCACCTCAGCCTGCACCTGGCTTCGGTACCCTCTTTCTGCCTGGGGATCAGCTCCTGAGACTCCAGCCATGCCCTGCTACAATGGACAAAGCCACCCTTGCACTGGGGGCCATTGGGCCCACCTAGGTGCCCCCCTAGTGCCCCCTCCTTTACACCCCCAACACTTTCCAGGGAATTAAACTCAGAGTCTGAGGCGCTACTGGGAATCTTTCATATGGTTTCGGTTCTAAAAGAGAAACAAAGGAAGAGAGAGGCTGAGGGTCCTGTCCATGAGCCAGGGTCTCCTCGCCTGACCTTTGTCTCTCACAGCCATAACTCACTCTAGATATGAACAATCAGCGGAAATACCTTAAAATAAATTCCATCCTCCTGGTATGGCCTCGACTTCCATCGGCTAACTCGCCCAGAACCGCTCCATGAGTGCTGAAAACTGCAATCGGCTCAGAGAGCGCTCTCCGGAGAAGGGGAAGAAGAAGGAGGAGGTGGGTTCGTGGGGGTTGGGGGAAAGCTCTGGCTCTGTAGAGAATCTAGAAAACGTAATCACAGGCGAAGCCTGCCTGGGTCTCCGCTCCAAATGCCACAATAATGCGCTGTATTATGTGCTCACGTGGTCATACGTCAACTTAAATCCTTTTATTTGAAATATGGAACCACTGAAGGAACTAGGTTGCCAAACAGAATATTTAGCTTTGGGGGAGGGTAGGTGGGGAACCTTGACCAGCAGTTTTGAGTTTAAGAGTTCTGTCTAAGCAATAGGATGCTGGGAGCCATCTCCCCATGAATGCCATGCAAGACATACAAGCTTATCTCCACTTACATTTCTTTACACACATTCCAAATACAAGGGTACAGCAATGCTATTCACATTTTTAAAATCCTTTTAACTTTCATTACAGCCTCCCACCCACGGACAAGCTGGATCCTGCACACCCATGCACCCCAGTCTCCTCTGGCCGGCAGGCCAGTATATCAAAAGGCAAGGGGCAGGCCCAGAAATAACTGACCTAGACAGCGGACTTCCTCACAGCCTGCCATTGTATGGAATTTGCTAACACACACACCATACACCACAGCCACTAGAGAAACCAAAAAGGACCATAATTACCTGACAAAAGGTTAAAGCATCTCCTCTAAGTCCAGTTGGTTTTGTTCAGTGGGAGCCCACTAGGAAAGATGTGCTTGGCTATAGAGTGGTGGGTCTGGGTTTTGCAAAATCTAGAGAAACCTAGTGCCCTGACCAAACTTGCACTTAAGCATTTCTTCAGTACACAGCTGAGTGATACATGGAATTATAGGTTTCTAAATATGAAAAATATCAGAGGAAATGATCTAATTGCTCTGCAAGAGACCCTCCCCCCACCCCCCAAAAAAAAGAAAATAAAAGGAAAAGAAAGAATCAACCTTCACTGGAGTGCCTTAAGTTAACAAGGCAAGGCAATCTGGGACCTCTCCACAGGCAGGTCTGTCCACCCACTTTTCCAAGACAATTCTGTGTCCACCAGCAAATTCTACCCCCATCCCCACACAAGTTCCTATAGAGACATAAACTCAAAGATAAGAAAGAGCCCCCTTCAGAACTCTCAAAATAATCTTGAGCAGAAAACCAGTAGAGAACCAACTGTGCTCAGGAAGAACCTAACTGAAACAAATAAGCTGCTCCCACCCCTGATTCCACCCCTACTCCTGCCTTCTGCCTGGTGACATTGCTCACTAATTTCAACACTGTACCCTTTCATGAGCCGTCTAAAAATCTTTTCTTTTCTGGTCTTAGTTTCTGAATTTCTGAGAATGCTCTGAGGCTAGTGAGATCCTCAGGCCATATTCTTTTGTTCCTGGAGAATGGGTCTTCAGTTGGCTGTGCCTAAGTGTGAGGACTCACTTACAGCAGCTGCAGGAGGCTGTGCATGATGTGATTCCTCCCCTTCACTCCTCCCCTGCAGAGGAACAGAAGGGGTCTGATGAAAATGCAAGGTCCTCAATAAGAGAACCTGGTCATGGGTTGTCCAAATCAGAAGGGCAATAAAAGAAGAGACCTGATCCCTTGGAAGCAAGTCCTGGCCTAAGCTGGTGACAGTATTTCAGTAAGGTTCAATCTGTGGTATAGCTGGAAGAGAACCTCCATGTGAACTTTTCCAGCTCTTATCTAAGTTACAAGCTGGAAAGTAAGAACTCCAAGTGAAAACCTGCCTCTCTCAGGTTTCGGGGATAGAGGACTAAGAGCTGGTTTCCAAAAAGCATTCTCCTGTCCCCCAAAAACTCACTCCTCTCTTTCTTACTGCTGCCTCCCTCATACCCCTCACCAATCATTCACATTGAGCTCTCCAGATACCCTAGAAAGGGACCTGGAGGTATTACTGGCAAATTCCTCCCCACCCCCAAGTTTCTGAGGAGGCATCAACTCAAAGATGAGAAGGGGCCCCCTTAAAAACTCTCAGAACAGTCAAGCAAATGAAAACTCTTAAAGCCATAAATTGGCTGGGTACGGTGGCTCATGCCTGTAATCCCAGCACTTTGGGAGACCAAGGTAGGTGGATCACGAGGTCAGGAGTTCGAGACTAGCCTGAACATGGTGCAACCCCCGTCTGTACTAAAAATACGAAAATTAGCTAGGCATGGTGGTACATGCCTGTAATCCCAGCTAGCCGGGAGGATGAGGCAGGAAAATCACTTGAAACCAGAAGACGGAGGTGGCAGTGAGCTGAGATCACACCACTGCACTCCAGCCTGGGACAGAGCGAGACTCTGTCAAAAAAAAAAAAAAAAAAGCAAAGCCATAAATCAATGAGAGAAGTCATTGGTACTGCTTCAGAGAAATGCCTTAACGCCAGCAAAGCTCAGAGGCATCTCAGCTCCAGCCTGGGGCCTCCACAGGGCTGCTAACATCCCAGTTAATGCTCCAACTGCTGTTTAACAATTAACATTAACGACTTAGGGTGGGATGGGGTGATTTGGTGGGATGAGAAGGGAAAAAATCTGCGAAGTCAAAAGACATTTAACTTTTGAGGTTAAAAAAAAAAAAAAAAGGCAACTTCTCTATGAGAGATCTTGGCCTGGGCAGCCTATCTGGGGAACCAGCAGCTGAGAGTTCTCCTTTGCCACTCTGCAATCCACTTTCCTGGAGCAAAGCTACAGGCCTTTTAAAAACGCAGCTGCCAGCCCCTCTTCACTCACTTCACCGGCCTCCAACTTGGCCTGGGCTGGGACTCATGCTGTGGTCCTGGTCACCAGAGCCAAAATAGGGGGAAAGTTGGCTTGGAAAAAGCAGGCAACCAAGGATACAGACCGTTAGTCAATATTTGCAAGGCTGTTGGCAGATTAGATATATCTGTACTCAAACACTGTAATCTGATTTCTCTGTCAAAAGTACACTTAACATTTTTGTCCCATTACTTAAATCTAGTGGATTTTCTACTCAGCATCAGGTAAGGCTCTCTTAGCCCACTATGTGTGTGTGTGTGTGTGTGTGTGCGCGCGCGCGCGCGCGCATGTGTGTGTATGATAGATTCTTATTTAACATGAGATTTTTCCTATGGGTGCAAGGGTAGTACAAATGGGCCGAGTTCTCTGGACACGTGTGGATGTGTATATTGTGTTTACATAAGGCCCCAAACTCCTGCAACTATTTATACATGCAATTGTTCTGTTGTTTGCTGAGATGGAAATCATATACACAGAGTTACAAATTCCTGAAACGTTCCATCTATATTTGATATAAACAGACATACAGTAGCTGAGAAAGTAACCCAGGTTGACTATTGCTCTGTTTACCTTCTATTGGAAAAAATAATTGTATCCAGAACACCATATCAGCCTTAAAGCACCACTGAATATCATGTTGCAATTAATTAACAACCTGATATCTATTTGGGAGCAAATTTAAGGGAAGACTGAGGCCAGGGAATAGAATACAAAATCTTAAAACTTTTTAAAAAGAAGTAATTACTGAAAGAACAAAGCAAACCCATTCCTTCATACCACGCTTTTGAAAGCTATTCCAGCAGCCCCTCCCCCAAACAGGCAAGTAATTTATGGATCTTTTACAAGGTAATAAACCACAGTAATTGCCTCCCTGCATCCCAAACTAAGACGACAAATTAAGTCAGAACTTGAAAATAACTTAAAAGAGTTTTCCCTTGTTTCGAATAGGAAAAGAAAATGCCAAGACAGAAAACCATGCTCTTCCCGTAGGAAGAACCCATGATGAGCCCCGATGAAAGAGGGGAGAAGACCCGCTGTCTGCGAAGTCCTAAAGGTTAGAAATACAGCAATCTTTCTCATGCCGAAGGAAAGGCAAAAGGATCTAAGGAATTGCAAGGCAGTGATACAAGTTTTCCTTAACAGCGGGACTGGGACTGTCGACAATTTCTTAACTCACAGCCTCCTCAGTCGCCTCGGTCGACAAGGAAAGCAGCCCACGCAGCGGCCGCCGCGCCCGTGCCCGTGGCCTTTACTTGCTTTTGCCCTGAAGTTCAGTGTGGTGGTTTGGGGCTTGCAGGAAGAAATAAGCACACCCCCTCTGACTCTCCACAACCCATCTTTGCCTTCCGCAACCGCTTCTCCTGGCCATCGCTGGCTTTGGGGTAGGCTCTTTGTCTGCCTGACGCCCCGCATTCACAGGGCAAGAAGCTTAAAGGAATCCAATTCCAAACTGCTCTGAAGTTAAATATTGACCAGAACCTCTTTCAACAGGCCGCGGTTGCCAGGAACCGTGGAGGGCCAACTCCTCCCAACCGCCCTGGTGCAAAGTCCCACGAGGCAAAGAGTTTTGGAGCAGCGCTTACCTAGAAAGATGTTTAAATCTGAACCACAAATTGTCTCCAACTCCAGGCGCTCAGGGAATCGCCTTTTCCGGTGTCCAGGCGCTCTGCAGACAAATAAACAGCAGAAGGTGAATGGCGGCTGTGAGGGAAGGGAGTTGGAGGCCGGGAGTGGGAAGCGCGGCTCCTGTGGGCGCCAAGGTGGCCCTGGAGGTGACGCGAACACCAAGGAGTCGCCAGGGCACTCGTCCATGCGGCGCACTCATTGCTCGAAATGTTCCAGTCTACAAATGGCCCGAAGATGGTGATTTATTTTTGTAAAATAAATACATACTCCATTTCCACACCCATACTTTCTCCTTTTTCTTTCTTTTTTTGGGGGGAGGGGGGTGCGGGGGGTGGAATGGGGAAGGAAAGAAAATGAAGTAGAGGAAGCTGAGAGGGTGGAAGTGGCTTTGCTGGTAGTGTGGACTGCTCTCAGAGAGCTCTCTCCTCAGGCACCCCAACTTGGAGAATGTGAATGCTCGCTTGATTTTCCTTTCCTAACAAAAGGAAGCCTTGTCTGGGAGCATTCAATCACGGACTCTCCTGAAACCTCACTAATAGTGTTCATTTCTGTTGGCGCGAAATCAGACCCGAACTCAGTCCACTGGCCAGAGGCAGTCTTGGGAGGTTTTGTCTTCTGGTTTATTCAACTCTAGGTGCGTTCCTTCTAGGTCCTAGTGGGCTGGCGCGGCTACCGCAGCACCTAGTCCCTCAGAGCAGGCCAGCTAAGACTGCTGGAAACTGGGAGGGACGCCGGCTGGTACAATACCTGCTCAGGGGCCCTGCTCCTGCTTGGCCTTGCGCAGCGGCCACAGGCCGATTTGATGCCTTGATTCTGCTCAAATCTCGTCCCTCACAATGTTTGCAACCCTCTCTTGCCCTCTAACCAACAAATGGTCACCGAGCCAGCAGTCAGCTTTCTGGGAGTGGGAGACGCTGGGAAAGGGGCAAAGAATCGTCCACTCGCCGGACCCTGGCTTGGAGAAGTTCTGCGCTCCGCTGGGACTCTGCGGGCCCTTTGCGTCTACAGACCTATCCCTGCCCCCACTACCCCTTCACTCAGACCCAGGTAACCTCTTACGCCAGCCTGCCCCAAACCAGCCCTCTGCTGTGTGTCTGCCTTCATGCAATTCTGTAGATAGTACTAAGAGCGGCTATCAAATAGCCGAGGAGTCTCCTGACCCCTGGCTTCGGAGCCCCCCGAGCACGTTGAACAAGTGGCCGCACATCAGCAGCTGCGCTCTGCCACCATTCGACCCGCAGCCCCCACAAAGCAAAGGAAAAGGACTTAAGATCCACGCTGCGCCCCCTTTCTCTTGTTCAAACTTGCTTTCTGTGTCCCCAAAGGCAGTGCCCACTGGTCTTGGGGATCCTGGCATGACCGTGAGCAAGGTGGACTCAGCCATCCCGCACTTTGCCTCTCAATTTCACCCGATAAAGATCCGCTATGCCTCCATCCAGCACTCCCCTGCGTGACACTTAGGAGTATGTAATTATTATGGCTATTATTATTTTTGCTGTTTCCTTATCCCCAAGTCTAATATTCATGGCTGCTGTCCCCCATAAATCGTTCAGACTAATGAGTCACAGAGAGATGCTGCCCAGGTCTCTCACTCTGCAATGGCCGCCACCGCCGCCGTGGCCTCGCTCTCCGAGTTTTTGGCGCTCGCTTGCTCCCTCGCTCGCCCGGCGCGGGTGATTTATGAACGCCGGGAAAATTGAACAAAGCCGCGCGCCCATCCTGTGGTATCTCTGCAGCCTTCCCCAGCGTGAATCAGAACATTACCAACTGTCTGCGCATCCGTCCCACTTCATCACCAAAGCCAGGATGTGACCGCAGAAAACCCAAGCCCGAACTCACGATTCCCCGGACGCGGCGCGCTCCCCGGACTCGCAGAAACCCTGCGGAAAAAGCCCCAAGACCTGGCGAGGGCCCGCCAGCTCCGTCCTCCCTGCCGAAGGGCTGTCTCCTGCCTTCCTGAAGGAGTTAAAAGCTTTTGGAGATAAATCTGAGGGTGTGTGTTTTTAAAAATCAAATGGTAAGTTGGAGTCTCACTTCTGAGAGATTCATTCCTAGTGAGGCCCTGACGACTCCGATCCATTCCTGACGATCTGCATTAATTATTTAATGAGTCACGTGACCTCAAAGATTACAATTTCAATATCTCCCTCGAACAGACGCTACACCTTTATCAGCTGCAACTAGGGTCCTTGTTTGGCTCTGCAGGCCTCCGGGGCACATTCATCCTTGCCCTGGTCCGAGGCAAGCCACCACCATCGAAATAGCAGGGCAAGCCTGACAGAATTAGTCATCCTGGGATTATGACCGTTGTGGATAGTGGGGAGTCCTCTGCTCTCCTAGGCGCCCTGACATCTGTCTCCTCCTGAGCCCAGTGGCCAGTCCACCTGTCTGAGCTTCATGACTAGGGTGGCTTGGTTACAAAATCTCCTCAACAGCTTTGATGGCCCACGAGGCAAGAACCCATCCTTCTTCTCTGGATGTACACACCTGTGACCACCCAGGTCAAGTGTAAGCTTAGATGCATACCTCCATTCCTGGCAGAATACCTTCGTAAGAGGAAAGATGTCTGTGCCCTTACTGCTCTCTAGAGTGAGACTAAAGGTTGCATTCCACCCCATACTCATTAACATAAGGAACGGTAGAGGGAGGATCATTCAGCTGCCTCAGTTTTCTCATCTGTGCAAAATGGCCTCCAGGTCTCCTTCACTTTGGACAGTCTTTCAATCTGGGAATCTCTTTCAATTCCAGGAATCAATCCCAGAGAAAGTGGGTCTGGCTTGAAAGGGAGGGGGTTTCCCCATGAATTTGGAGTCTTCAGAAGAGGTACCAGTTCTGTAAGTTGAAGACTAGAGGGTTTCAAGACAGCCACAGCAGCCTCCCTCATACCACCAAGGGAACAGAACACAAGTCTCTTCCTCCTATTGTTTCCAGCCCATGTGTTTCTTTGAAACACAAAGCAGAATTATTCTTGGGACAGTGTATAATATAGAGAAGGGGCAACAGAGCAGCAGTTGAGAAAGGTGAGCCTGTGTTCTTCTATACAAGACTGTGTCTAGGGATGCAGAAACCAAGGGAGTGCCAAGGAAAGCCTACTGCCTGCACAGAACCCACTCATTCAGATGGGAAGCCCCAGGCCTTTTTGCTACATTGATTCTTTGGGTTTTTCTTCTCTTTCATTCTAAAGAGTCATTGATCTGTTTCTATGCGGGAACTGCTAGAGGGAAGGCAACAGTGAGGAGAGAAGCAGAGTTTGGAAGCTTAGGGGAACAGGGGGACAGAGGAAAGATAGGGATATCCACCCTGCCCCACCCCACAGGGAGGAGGCTGAGATGTAGGGGAATGGGACCCCCTGGGACAACTGGGTATGAAGTCGGAGATGCTATGCAAAGGGACTTCCCTCCTCCCCTATCCATCTAGGTAATCTTCCCATGAGCTCCATCCTGGGTATTAAGTACTCTACTATGCCTGTCACAGTTGAATTCCTGCTGTAATAAAACACCGGGTATATCGTAGATTTCAACAAAACTAGGGAAGGAAGCCTGCAAAGTGCCATTTTTCTTCAAGGGGGAGAGTGTTAAGTACTTAATTCAAACTGTGACCATTAAAGTGTCTCCTATCCGATTTAGGTTGATTTCAGATGTTGACAAAACTTTTATCTCCAGAGTTATGCCCAACTTGGCTCTGTGACTAAAGCAGATGAGTGTGTATTGGAGGGAGGGAGAAAGAGAGAAGAGGAGAGCATATGTAAGGCTTATTTTGGTAAAATTATAGAGCTTACACAAAATACTGTCTTTAAAGGTCAAGGGTTTGAGGGGCCAGTAGGGTTTGCTTAAAACAAAACAAAACAAAACAAAAAACAATTAATGAGATAGAAAATTTGTCCTCTCAGTGAACTCTTAAGGTTGCCCCAGCAAAGGGCAGACAATGCATGATTTTGAAGTACAAAGTAGGATTTTCCAATCTCCTATAACAAACGCCCTTAAAGGACAATTTGAAGCAGGCAAAACAACACTAAAGAAATGACAATCATTTGGATCATTTTCTATAATCTTGGTTTTGTAAAACTCACCAATACCTTAATAATCAATACAGTTGGGACAAAAAAGCCATCTTGTCCTGTAATATCAGAAAAAATGATCTCAATTCTCTGTCTTCCCTTTCTGGGTAGACTTATAAGTGCAAGTGAAAGAAAGTCACCCCCTTCATCCTCATACAACTGCCTCCAGCATGAAGCTAATGAATGTTCCCATACCCCTCTTTTCCCACAAAGGAGAAATGTAAGAATTTACCTTAAATGATGATAGTCTGCCATTTGAGATTTTGCAGCTTGACACTCAATTTCCACTGAGAGTCTAGGCATTTTTTTTTTTTAGCAGACAGCCAAGATGCTGTGTCCTTGCCTGAGACCACATTATTTGCAAGAAGATCCCTCTCTCTTCCACAGACTTTTCCCAGAGAATGCCTTTCAGAATTGCTGTTGAATTACAAAGAAGTATTTATTGTTTGAGGTGATTAATGATTCCTGGGAAAATTGCTATTTTCAGCGTGATTTAATTTTGTTTTACAAGTGTGTCTAGTAGGGGGAGGGTTAATAAGTTTCAGCAGCAGTTACATTGCCTCCAGAAATTCCTGGCACCCATTCACACCTTATAAAATGCACTTTATGCCAGGTTTCTCCTGATTTGGGAAGGTAAGTGTGTATTTGTTTGCTCCCGAATTTTCTTGGCTCCTCAGAGACTGGTATCTATCACTTTCCTCTCAAATCTGATTTGTGGGTATAGAAATGATCACCCTTGTTTGTATCACACACAGGGCAGCAGGGGTGAAAGGGGTAACAGCTCTGACAGTGGCTAAAGGGTTTTGCCACTAATGAAAACAAAATGTGTTTAAAAATTCTCTGATGTTGCAGAGGCAGGTGAGCACCTACTCCCATCTATGCTAAAATTACTACATAACCTCAAAGCTGCACGTTATCAAGGCCAGGTGACAGTTCTAATATTCTGGGGCTAGTGCGCACTGGTTTTTGCTGTCTTATTGTAGGGGACTCCCTGCAGTAAGCACCAAATCTAAATCAGTAAACAAATACTAGGGTTATAGAGATTGAGAAGTGGGTTTTGATTTTCAGCCTTTTGGATCTAGATCTCTGGAATCGAGCAGAAAAATCACAAAGCATTTGAGGAAAGTGACCCTAATTCAGAGTTTTGCTATTTTCCAGCAGTAAACTCTCCCAGGTCTACTTTGCATGGGGTGAACTTTGGAGGTATATTATGCTTTTTCTTTCCTCAGGAGAAACTTTGGAGAGTGTCCTTGTAAAATTCAGTTTATTTGAAAGCTCCTTCTTCAAAAAAGAGAAACAACCAAGCAAACAAACAAAAATTCCTAGTCTGTAGTTAGTGAAGAGGACCTTAAGAACAGCCAAGAAACAAAAAGTAATCTCAACCCTTTGCACGAACTATTTTTTATCTCCAGGGAAACAGGCAGATTAAGTGTGAAGGTGCAATAAATACCAAAGAGACCACTTCTTTCCAAGTGTGCTCAGAGTTCAGTGTGTAGAACAGCTGCAGAAACTCCTGGGCCCACAGCACTGCACGGTTTCAACTTTCATTGCAGGGAAGGACACGTTTCTATGCCTTACAGAGACTTGAAGCCTGAAAGACTGGCCAAGTTTGGGAAGAAGAGGAGCCCTCTCAGAGCTCAAGAGCCTTCCTGCTCTTTGGAACTTTTCCACAGTAGGCCAAGCTTGACAAGAGTTCAGCTCAAGTTGAGCATACATACACACACTCTCACACACAAATTATGTGAGCCGTCAGAATCCAAGTGAATACAGCTCAAGCTATCTACAAGGTTTTTACATGAAAGGTCAAGTATCTCAATCCAGAGGACTTTTGTTTTCTTAATGAAAAGCTTAGAAAACACATGAATCTTAGATTTTTAATGTTTTTTAAATGGAGTTTATTCTTAGCACATGGCTTTCTATATAGCCACATCACAATTTGTACAGTTCCACATAAGTCTAAATGCACTCCCCTCTCCCCAAAGACTGTGTCCCAGAAGGGGACAACAGTATCTCTGTAACAGTATCTTAAATAAATGCAAGTAAGGAAAATTAACATGTCACACCTACCATCAAGGTCTACACATCTTAAGAATTAAATAATCTTGTGAGGTCCACAGTGTCTACTCATTTATTCAGTTCAATACAAGCTTGGATAAGCTGCCTTAATGGGGGAGGAGGAGGTAAGGAAGGTGGGGAAAGAGTCTGTTTTCTTCTGCTTTCAACAAAAATGCAAGTATACGTCCCCAGTCAGCATGGGCTGTCCAGCTAGCTGACTGTAGCCATCTCAAAAGTATTTGATACCAAGTAGTCCTTCTCAGGTATCCACACCTGGCAGCCTTGTTTCAGGCCAGCAGGTTGTTCCACCAACCAGCATCCTGGACAACTGTCCTCTCTTGGGTGGCAACCAGCACACACTCTTACCCGGATAATGTCTTCTTTTTGGTTATCCTTTTCACCAATTTGGGTTTGTTTTGGTGTCTATTATGGTCCGGATGGGGAGGGGTGGATGAGGAAAGGAGCAAGAGAAGAGAAGAGAAAAGCAAGTAAGGGATAGAAACTGGTCAAGGTCTCTAGAAGATTATATGGAGGAGGGAACCTGTGTGGAGGTGCTCGGGTGGGGGTGGGGATGGAGGTGCGGGCTCTCAGTTTGTGCTTTCCCTGGTGGGCCGGCAGAGGCCGAGGCCGAACTGGAGGATCGCATCTTGGTGTTGGGCAGTTTGTGGTCTTTCTTCCACTTCATCCTCCGGTTCTGAAACCAGATCTTGACCTGGCGCTCGGACAAGCAGAGCGTGTGGGCGATCTCGATGCGGCGCCGCCGGGTCAGGTAGCGATTGAAGTGGAACTCCTTCTCCAGCTCCAAAACCTGCTGCCGGGTGTAGGCGGTTCGAGAGCGCTTAGGCTCCCCTCCGTTATAACTGGGGTTGACTGAAAACCCAGAACCCCGAAAGAGAAGGCCAAGGAGGAGGGAGCGGAAGAGAGAGAAAGGAGGAGGAGAGAGAAGGTGGGGTGGGGAAGAGCAATTGGACATCATCATTATATAATAACCTGACACCAAGTTCACGCAAGATACATAAAACGGCAAAGAAAATGTTTCACAGGCTATTGACAACGGGAAACACCCGAGAGCCATAAAGAATGGTGCTGGGCATTGGGGCTGAAGAAAAGCTTCAAAGACACATGGCCCGAAGCCTCTGCCAGGGCAATTAAATTTATGGGGGCTATAATTACTGCCCTAACAGTTTGGCGTCTCGTAAATCTCCTGATAAAGGGACCCTGGGTACAAAAGGGTTCTCACGTTGGGATCAGGCGGCTAGCTGGCGCACACATACCCACATCTCACCGCAGCCCGGGCCAGATGGGGGCTCCCCTCCCGAGGACCCCTTCCCCTGAGCTTCTCCCTCCTGACCCCGACCCTCGAACCCAGGCCCAGCCCCGGCCCACCTCCCGCGCCTCCCCAGCGGCGCCACGTACCGGCGCTGACATGGATCTTCTTCATCCAGGGGTACACTATGGGCTCCTTGCCCTTCAGGCCCAGCGGGCTCTTGTCGGCCAAGAGCAGCGGGCACGCGGGGGCGCTGCCCCCTGCCGGGACGCCTGGGGTGGCGGGGGCCGCCTCGCAGCGCCGCGGGGCCGCTGGGGGCACTGCGCGAGGCTGCAGGGGCGGCGGCGGCTGGGGCTGCAGGACGTGGCTCGCATGCAGGCCGTGCGCCGGGCCCTTGGCGTGCGCCAGGGGCTGCTCGGGCTGGGGCGGCCGCCCGGGGCTCGCGCCGCCGCGGTAGCCATAGGGGTAGGCGGTGTCCGCGGCCCCGTGCGAGGGGTACAGCGCGGCGGCAGGGTAGGCGGGCTCGCGGGCGGTCCGCGGCGCGTAGTAGGAGGCAGGAGGCTCTCGGCCGCCGCCCGCGTGAGGGAGCTGGGGCTGCTGCGGCGGCAGGTGCTGGGTCGGGGGCGCCGGGGGCTGCTGGTAGCCGGGGCCCCCGCCCGGGCCGCCGTCTTCGCCGCCCGGGCCGCTGTGCTGCGCGTACTCCTCAAAGGGAGGGAACTTGGGCTCGATGTAGTTGGAGTTTATCAAAAACGAGCTCATGGTCATTAATTTGTGAAGTGCAAAAATACTAATTTTTCTCGCGTTGTCGTTTTTTCTGGGCTCGCCGAGGCCCCTCCCCCTCCTGCCTCGCTTCCCATCCCCCTTTCCTCAGCGCCCTTCCCCTCCCCCCGCTGTCAAGTGCCCACCCTTCCCCCTCCCGCAGACGCCGCCACCAAAGTTCGAGCCGCTCCTCCCCAGCCCAGCGCGCGCCCCGCCCCGTGCCCCACGTGCAGCGCCCCCACCAATGGGCGCACCGCGCGCGCGGACCCGGATCAGGAAACGCGCGGGTGCGTGATGGATGCTGCTGTCCTGTCCCTGGGCTGGGGGAGGGAGCAGGAGCTTTGGACCCCAGCCCCCCAACTTTGGTTCCCCCTGGGAATTCGGGCCCTGTCAGGCTGTAGGTCCTCTTGGGAGCCCTCTGCTTGCCCTACTGCTGGCTTAGGCCTCGGGCAGTCTGGCAGCCGCGACTCAGCGCTGACCTCGGGCGCAACCCAGTCAGGCTTCGCGTCCTTCAGGGGTTCTAGGCTAACGGGGGAAAGGAGGGCGTTGGGACCAAGGGGCATCCTGGCTTTTATGTACGCCCCTGAGAGGCCACCAGACACATTCTCCCAACCGCAGATCCCCCTTCCCCACACCCTGCTCCTTGCGTGTCGGCCTGAGAGCCCTTGTTTTGAGAAGCTTGGCAGAAGCTGCAAAGGGTGGGTGGGCAGCTAAGAGAAATCGACCCAAGGATGTAAAGCGAGGCCATTCCATTATAACTGGATGGACGCTTTTCATTTTTTCCTTCTTTCAGAGACAATCTGTTTCGCGTTTTCCTAAGAAAAATTGGAACCTTCATAATAGCATCTAATTTGATGGGGTTGTCGATGTGAGAGCTAAATATGCCCGCGATTGCAAGGTGCGATTGTGAGAGAGAAGGTGGCCCAAGGATGGGAATGGATAGAAGCAATACCTCCACAGAACCGAGCTTTGAAAACAATAACTTCCTATTTCAGAACAATCCCCAAACAAAAACAAGCTAAGGGTAGAATAAACGCCTTGCCGGTCTGATTGCTGATGGGTCTTTTCCAGCTAAGAATTTCAAGTTTTCTCTTTTAGATCCTGCTTTCTCAGGCAGTATCTGAGACTAGAGTTATATTTACAGGACAGTCTATAATTTCTTAATTGCTGAAAATTAGCGTATTAACGATATCAGAAGCTCCGGAAAGGAGGGAGAGGAGACTGTTGCCTGCCATTTGGTAATTGAAATTTGATGGGTACACTAATTACGCCATTATTAACAAATAAATTACTTATTCCACCTAATGTTGATCTTTGAAGTAAATACTTATGCCTTATTTGTACTGTGTACTTTCTCCCTTTCTTTTCTGAGTAAGAGACATATCTAGATCCTCTATTTTTCTGCCTAGATTAAAGCAGTGCAAACTAGCATAGTCACCATTCTAAAAATATTTTCATATTGGCATGCAAAAACAAGGATTTTTCAGCTGGTGCACCTTAGTTGATTTTTCAAAGAGCAGTATAAACAACCTTCTCACAACTGAGTCTGGAACGCAGACAAGGAAAATTATTTCCTAAGCCTGGAGACACTTCAAAAGGAATGTCGATTCTATCTTCATTCATATTGGTTACTCATAGGAGTTACTAAATGCTGGAATATATCCATTTGATGGATAGTCATTTAATGCTTAGCCACATAAAGCCTATTATATGGGACTAATCTTTAAACTAATTTAGGAAAAGAGGTTAAAAAGGGGATCATATTAGCTTTCTAACTGGAATCACCCTGAAGTGGTACAAAGAGATTTTCCATATTAGGTGTATGTGTGTGTGAAGAGTGCTGTCCATTCACATGAAGCACCCTGAAAATTTGTTTTTAATGAAATCTGAGCCACAGACAGAAATCAACACTGAGTGTAATCTTTAGCCATCCTCTCTAGACTGGAGGAAAAATTCAGCCTGTGATACATCTACCTGAACCAATATCTCTCCCTAGCAAGAAAAAATAATATATACATAGGTTGTATACAATGTAATATAAATAATATATAGTTATATGTATTACAAATCTGAACCCTATAAGTTTCAGGGGGACAAAAAGCATGACAAGGAAATCTTCCCTCCTCATTTCATCAACCTTGAGTACCAGGGTCTTAACCATATCTGTTTAATATTTACAGACACTAAAACACAAAAATTCTGTTGTTTAGCCTCAGAACCTTGTACCAAGTTTCTATTTTTAAGTATTAATGAGACATAAGCACTGTTTTGTATATGGTTAACCCAAACGAGTTAGCTGTGCCTGTGTTTTGTGTGGTTCTATTACTTTAGGAAGATGGCCTTACACAGAATCCCTCAAGGCCTGTAACTTGTCTTTGTGGTTCGTATCATAAACACAAACGGAGCCAGGACCACCAAGTGTTATCTCACACACCGACATTTTGACATTTTACTGCAAGATTTATGGCTGTAATAAACAATCGCAGTACCTTTTCTGAACCTTCCTCAATCTCCCTTTGCAAACTGTAGCATCATTCCATCGAATCAAATAATCTTTTGAAAAACATTTTTTAAAATACCTCTTGCCTTTACACAATATCCAAGACACCAAAGTAAAGCCAGGAAGAAACTAACTCAATTAATAAACAAACTGAAGTTTACCAGCAGCATCTCGCCTGAGAAAAGATGGGATGCCCTGAAATGTAGCAGAGAGGGAGCATGCAAATCCTCGCACACCAACTGGCTCCAGTCCCAAGCGGGGTGGAAGCGTTATCCTTTCCTTAGGAAACTGGTGAGCACATTTGCTCATTTCCACGTGCAGGGGTAACATATTCCCAACAAAACCTTTCTTAAAATCCCATTAGGTGAAATAACTTTTCGTCATGTCCTCAAATCCCAGATGGAGACGAGTGAAGGGAGTTGGAGGGAGAGGGAGGGTGAGAGGGAGGCAATGTTTTGCAGCTTGGTTTGAATCTGATTTGAATCATTTTGAATATATTTGTAACAGCCTTCTCTCTTGAATGCAATCCTGTCCCAAGTTTCAAAGTGACCGAACAGTGACACCATGTGCATTTTGTTTCTTATTAATCTTACACATTGACAGTCTTTGTTAAATCACAAGGCGCGCCCTTCACCAGCCGACATTTTCATATTTGTTAGACGCACTGACCTGAAGTTCACCTCGGCCTTGGACTTTGCGCTTGTAAAAGGTCTATACAGTGTCTTTTAGCGAGCAGGGTGCTTTGCCCAGGTCACTCCCTCTCAGTAAAAACCAAGGGGAAAAGCCAAAGGAAATGTAAACGTTATGGAATGTATTGACTGTATTTGTCCTTTGTTCTTTAGAGCGAGAGTCCCCAGACTGTTCTCTCTCTGATGCGTGTTTCTGGAGCTGAACAGTGGAGTGGCAGAATTTCAAAATGCCTGATGGTGGCATTTGAAGGCTTCCCCCCACACCTACACTAGACACAAGACTTGAGAGGAACAACACTTTACCAGCCATTTGACCAATTAATAGTTTGGGGGTAATTTTCTTGTAGTAGTTTAAAATAATGCACACAACCCAGGGATGAGGACTGATATTCATATTGGGATTACACATGAATTTTAACTTGGATTGTTTGAGAGGCCTGAGGTTCAAAATCCTCCAAATAAAGAAGCAAGCACTCTAAAAGCAATAACTTCTGCGAGTACCCTTTTCTTTTACTTTGAAGACTAACTAAGAGATATCTATGGTTTTTGAAGTTGACATGTTTCTAAGATGTGTCACGTTTTTAACAAAAAACACAATAAAAAGGTTTTTCCCAAAGAGACACATAATTGTCTTGTTGACTCATCGAGGGGTTTCAGTTTTCTTCATTTCACTAGCCCAAATGTGGTGAAATGTTCACTGCTGCAACAGCAATCACCACAGTTGTTTCCTTTCTTCTGTTTCATCTGGCAAACCCCCATTTGGCTTCAAGCTCTTGGCCAGAGTGAAAACTTTACACGTTGCACAGAAGCACCCTGATTACTTCCATGAAGGCAGTGTTTGGGAAATATTTATTTTAAAACTGAACATACCTGGCACTGTTAAATCCAATCAACCAAGATATATTAGGATGATCTTAAACATTCCTTCAAGAGTCTACATTCTGAGTAGTTGAATTATCTCCAAAGTTAAAAAAGAAAAACCTAGGGAAAATATTTCACCTTTCTCTTCTCTGTTTTCCTATACTGATCCCTTGAAGGTCAATTCATACAAAAGAGAAATATGTCCTCTGGAAAATAGATTATTATAGCACCAACACTTAAAGCCATTCTAGATGCATGAAAAATAAAATATTGTTTAGCTCTTCAGTTGCAACTCACACATGAGGCATGGTTCCAGTCGGCTTCCTTAATACACTATTCCCTTTCTTTTCTGCTCTCCTACCCTTCTGCTTAGGTTGCTTTCTCTTCTCCTTGACTTTTTCTTCAATTCCACGTGTATTATTAAAAAGTACATTCTGAAGAATAGAAAATATTCTATTCTGTCCTGGTTGTCTTACACAGTGGCCTGGTATTTGTGGATTTCACCTTTCTGCATTCCCTACAGTCTAGTTATTCACTTATAGCTTGTAGTACTTCTCTTACATTCAATTGTGGTTTAATAATAAACAACAAAAATTTCCAAACAGGAACATTTTCATGGCACCAATAAGCATTTTGTCACTGGTAGTGCTGGTGGAAGGGGTGAAGGGAGAATTCTGTGTCTTTCAGGAGGGTGTCCACTTCCTTCCTTCCCCTTCTCAGATCTCAGAATGCTTTGCATTCAGCGGACTGTAGTTTCACAAAAAGCATATTCTATGTTTGAAAACTGCAAAGATTACATTTTGCAAGAAGTGCCTGTGTTTGCATTTGTTCTTACACACTTTAGGGGTCATGATATGTACTAAAAAGACAAAAAACTGGCCAAGCAAAATCCCTCTTTTCAAATAAAGGAGGTTTCCTGCACCATTCTGTTGCCTTTGAAGGCATAATGAAATATTGGAAACTTGCGACATTAGTTTTTAAAGCTCCATAGATGAGTTTTTAGCATTTTTATTTTGTGACAAACCCACAGACTCCTGGTTCTCCAACACCTAAGGTGTTGGTGTTTCAGTAATCTATGCCTATTTACCTGCTGCTATTCCCTCAGAACAGGAGCGATAATTCAAGATGAAATACAGCATGTATTACTCTTGAAAAGAGGAATTTTCTATCCTTTCCTCCGTAATTGAGGTCATTCAACCACTAGGGTTCACCTGGAGTCCATACCGTGATACACGCGTCACTCCGAGCCATTTTATCTTTTGTGCTGATAGTCAAGATCACAGCTCTAACATTGACATCAAACTCTGTCTGGGCAGATGACTAAGAGCACTGCACAATGTAAACTTTTGACCCTCAACTTTTTGACCTGCAGTTGTAACGCACTAACCACAAAGATACACAAAGCTGAGCCTCTTCTTTCAGGGGGAAGGGGCCCCCCTAGCATCTCAGGACACCCTGCTTCTGCCACTGCCATTTGAAATTGGAGGGTGAAATGGATATTTTTCCTCAGTGTTTGTGACTGGACTTTTTGTTAAATCAGCCTACGACCCCTTTGTCAGCAACTAGGTACTAGATTAACTTGAAATCACTCGTGATTCTATTTTACGAGGAAAATTTGGAGCAGAATGGGAGAACCTTGCAAAAAGTGAAAGAAAAGAGAAGATGGGGGAAAGCAAGCACTGGGAGGTGGAGACACTTTTTCCCTTTATTTAAAACTAAAGACGCAGCCCTAATTGTTGGGAGAGCTGGCCCAGGCGGGTGAGTTGACTGTGAACTTGTACTAAAGCGTGCTCTGCTGGCGATTCCTAGGGTGTGCAGATTTATCTTCTCTGCATTTACTTAACCCGGCAGTGAACTGCGCGGGCGTCATTTGTTAGGCGATGACAGACTTCACCTCCAGCAAGGGCTGCTTCACAAAATCGCAATAATTATCTAATAACCTTCATAACAAATATTATTATTGAAAAGACTGGCTTGTGGGGAGGGAATCTGGTGGGAGAAGAACAAATTTATTGTGAACAACACCAAACAAAACAAACCTGGGCAGACCTTCAAGTTCTGGGGCTTAGAATGGCTGGGGCTGTGGATCCCCTCCCCTATGTGGGTGGGAGCTTAGGCTGACCCCCTCAGCCCTGCCTGGGAGCCCCGTTTATAGTTTTGCCATTGACTAGAAGGAAATTCCTCTTTAGAAACCAAAGGGATGGAGCCCACAATGCTCTGCACTCTCCATGGTGGGCAAGCCATGGACAGACCCCCAGCCAAGTCAGGGGAGAGGCTGAGAAGGGCATCTTTTAAGCTAAAAAGATTGTTTTCCTCCTTAATTGCCCATCTTTTAAGATGTGATTTGCTTTCCACTCACTAATTATTTCAATATAGTCCTCTCAGAATCTCAGCAAATGAGATGAGGACTCTATTTTTGGTAGGAAATTCTGCCTTGCTCTCCCAGAGCCGCCAACAATGAAGCAGGGGAAAGAGCAGGAGAAAAGGAATCTTGGCATAATGTTGTGAAATTAGACCATGGAAACCCTAACAAACCCCTAAGTAAGTGTGACCAGAAGCTTCCTGTTGTATTTATAGTTCAGAAATATTGTCTCTTCAGCTTGTGGGAACAAACGAGCCCCCGCACATTGCCGCTGAGGAGGAGCACACACACGCACTTCTGCCACCGGCTGAGGCTGGATGTCTTCATAAAGCCCTCAGTGACAGACATATTTTTTCTTAGAAAGTTCCTCTGCAAGAACAACCCAAAAGAATCCACAAAAGAAATAACTTATCTACAGAATGAGCAGAAAACCAGCCATCCTCTTTATTATGCTTTCTATGAAAATAGGAAGAAAGAAAAAAAATCCTCCAATAACGTATAGGTCTGACTGCATGATGTATTTTTAAAGTCATTTAATTCCATGTGGCCATGTGGGTTTGCCTGCTCTCTTAAATTCTACTTAAGTTTTGTGAAGATTTAAACAGACAGAAATAAGCAAGCTGACAATATTTACAGCCTGTAATTTTTCTCATTCCTTGGAAAGATTCTCTATGTTCTGTGGTGCTGGATATAACTTCAACAGGCTTTCTGCTCATTCCCACACCCCAAGGTGGAATATGGCCATGAAGTAGTGTGGATATTTTCTGTGTAAGTTACTCAAACTAAACTGGCAGAATCCCTGTCACTTTTTTTTTTTCTAATTTCAATCACCAAGAAATCACTCAAGCAAGATCACCAAATGAGTAACTAAAATGGAACCCTAACCCAATATTTTCAATAAGGAGCCCACAATTCAGAGCAGCAAAAAAAGGAATCCAGTATTCTCACAGACACATAACATTATAAAAGAGAACCCATACCTATATAGAGTTTATATCCTTGTTCCCACCAAGATGTGGACACATCTTCTCGATTGCTGAAGTACCAATGTTTACTTTAATAGGTTGCATACAATTACTTCAGGATTCTTCACCTTGCCACTATTCATGAGAAGTAGCACTTGTGGGAGGGTTTCTATTTTTCAAAAAAAAACTTTCTAGGTTTTGCTTTCTGGACCTCTGACTTTGGGGACATCTGTTGGACTTATGTTGAGTGTAGGTGGCCTCTGCACAATAAAGTTTATTGAAATTCCAAATCTATACTTTCAGTTTTTTCACTTTAAGCACTTAATAGGTATCTTTGCCAATTAATACTTGCTGAAAACTGCCCAGCTCCTAAGGAGAAAAGCAGATCCTATTTTTTGTTTCATTTCTGAATGCAGTAGGAGAATTTGGCTTAATTCCTAAAATAGGATTGAGGGAAATCTACTGGGTCCCTTGTGGGTACCCATCCAGAAAAAGATCCCGGGACAGGCCACAGTCCCCAGGCACTGGGCTTGGGTTTTGCCATTGAAGAATATGGGGGGTTGGGGCCAGAAGGGGTGACTGGGGCCAATATGGAATTGTACCCAGGATAAACGTATTTCACCTTACTTCACCCATTGGTGCAATTTTGGAGATTGTTCTGGAAATCATAGATTATGTAAATTTCCTGGGATCAAACAGAAGGAGCAGCTAACAAAAGAAAGGCGGAAATCTCCTACTGACAAAGGACCAATTTCTTCCCTAAACTACCGTTTATGATGTGTCAGGAAAAACAACCTAATGGCTCTGGGGACTTTTAAGTTGGGCATTGAAGACACCTCAATTTCCCCCCAAAACTTTAGAGCACAGTTTGGAACAAAGAATTCGCCTGCATGTTGAGGGGGAGTGAATTTCTCCAATCTTAATGTTATCTAGGGGGCCGCCTAAGGTGCCTTCTGAGGGTCCTGTGCCTAGATGTTTTTAATTCTACAAAGAAGGAGAGGAAAAGGAAAGAAGAGAGGGAGAAGAAAGGCAAAGCGGAAGAAAAGAAAGAGCTTTAACCCCTTTCAATTAGCCTGGGGATTCAAAGACTAAAGTTAAATCCGGCCATAAAGTTTATTGCTTCAGACTCACAGGCGGGTGAGAACAGTCCCACCGAAATAAAAAGAACGTGCAGGCTAACAGGGTTCAGGGCCTGGTCCCGGGTGCGGGGGAGGGGGTGCTGAACACCCTCACACACCAGGGTGGGGACCCTTGGTCCTCAGGGTCCAGTGGGCGCTAGCAGCCCAGGATCCACCTTGCAACCCGGGAGCCCAGGCTGGAGGTGCAGCCCCCGCCTCGCCGGCCTCTGCCACCCTCCTGCTCTCGCGAGCTAGCCTGAAACCCAGCCCCGAAGGCCGCTGCCTCAATTCAGCCCTGCCAGATGACCCCGGCCCGCGAAGACATATTGCCACAGCCCCGTAAGGAATCCCGCCAGAGTCCGCCTCGGCCCTGCCCGGGCCTTTCTTTCAAACTCCTGAGCGCAGCGCGGCCTCGGCGCCCGCGGCCGGCGCCCCCCTGTCTCCCAGCCCCCACCCCAGGGCTCCGCGACCCCCAGGAGCCGGCTCCGGCCGGCCCAGCAATTGCGCGGGAGACTGGGGATGCGGCCTTGCCAGGTTCCCACACACAGGCCCATTCTCACACAAAAAATCATCTTTTTGCACGCCGGCGGGAGCAGCGGAAGTCATTAACATCCGCGGTTGTGCAGCAATTAAAGTTAGGCCTGGGGATGCGGCGCGGCCACAGGCGCTGCTCACCCTGCTGCCTCCGCAGAGCTGGTTCCTGGCGCTGTTCTTTTGGGCAGAGGGAAAGTTTGCTCTGCCTTTTCGAATTCAGAGGCAGCCTCAGAGCTATTGAACCAGAGAGAGAGAGGGACAGAGAGAGAGAGAAAGTTTCCAAAGTACAAATAAACTTGAAAGCGCTCAGGAGGCGAGCTTACCTTAACTCGGAGGGAGCCATTTTTCAGAGTTTTGAGAACTTGTGGTTTGGACACTTCTGGACCTAAAATTGACAGTTTGAATGGCCAGGCGGCACACGTAGCCTGCAAAAGAGTCAAATGGAGTCCAGCGTTAGTGAGATTATATGTTATGTGGTATATAATGTTGGATGTCAACTCCCCAAAACCATAAAACTTACTTTAATGGCCTCACGTGACGTTTTATAGCCAGTGAGCCGATCTGTCTGTGCTATGGATGATTTTACGATCTAATTCATAGACAAAACCCTATTCATTTGGCACCCAAATGTCATATAGCCGGAACTGGGGCTTATAAAGTTTACTGTTTTATAACTTTTAAAAGGAAAGACGGCATCAGTGTAAGCAGTCGGTAAATGTGCAAATCTCTAGTTGCGCTTTAGCTGCTCTGAGGAGTTTCCCAATCGAGCTAGGATGGGGTAAGTACCTTCCATTTGTAGCAAATTAATAGTAGCAAAAGAAGCCAACTGGGTCCAGGATGAAGAGTGGGGAAGGGGTGCTGGGATGGATTAAGGGCAGAGGGTTTGGGGTCCACAGCCAGACAGAGCAGCGTCTTCAGCAAGTGGAGGCCTAGGACAGCCTTAGGAAAGAGGCAGGATCTGTGTGGCCTGAGGGTGGCTAACAAAGCCCTGGGCTTTTTCTCCTTTTTTCTTGCTCTTTCTCTCTTTTTTTTGTACCCAGCAAGTTAACTTGGTTTCCTCAGAGATGGGCATGGTGGCCTGGAGCTTTGGAACCGCCTACAGCTTTTTCCACCTTCTGCCCTGAACTTTGTGATGGGTCAGAGTTAGGGAAGCGATGGGCCAGTCTTGGTATGAGGTCTCCCTGCACAGGTCATCTGCTCAGGTAGCCTTAGACCCAACGGTTTCCAGGACTGGACAGACAGACAGAAAAGCAGACAGAGCCACTCACTATTTGGCACAAACCAGACCAAATGAACTTACAATAGAAAGTTTATTTTTTGTTCCAGTCAGTATTTTTTCCTTAAAAACAAATACAAAAAAAAAAAAAAAAGCTGATCACAGTTTGCTTAAAACAGACAGACTTGGACAATATTTGTAACTTTGTTCACAAAAACATACATCACTGAAGCTGCGCTTATAAGAGCCACTTCCAGAGTTCGTGCAAAGGGTCCTACAAAGGCACGCAGGGACACACCGCTTGGAGTCACAGTTTTCATCACAGAGTCACTATTCACTACACGTCGAACAAGTTGTGTCTCATCAAGTCACCTCTACAACAGCATTAATTACACAAGGAATATAGGTAGTTTGAATAAAAATATCTTTAACAGCTTGGAGCTATTGAGACAGGAACACTTCCACGCACATGCACAGTTAAACAACTTGAGTGCAACACACAACATTGGCACTAAACGAGATTGAAGGGGGACTTTTTGTGTGTTTTTTTCTCTTTTTTTGTTATAGTTACTTCAAGTAACACAGCTTGCTTCATATAAATAAGTTAAAACATCTATTTTTTTTTTTTTTTCAAGACAAAGCCATTCAGGACAAAGAGATGAACAGAAAGCAGATCTACTTATACAGGCGCTATAATGGCAATAAACAGGCTCATGATTAAAAGATGAATTAGGGCAAAGAGAACAGGGCTTCTTCACAGAAGGAACACAAGGGAGTTTCAGAAAGTCACCTTAGTACTGACACTACGCGGGATCCGCTAATACTGCTCAGTACTTTAAACGCTCAGATACTCAGGGACGGAAGGCCCCTCCTGCCGCGGCCATGCTCATGCTTTTCAGCTTATTATCTTTTTTCCACTTCATTCTCCGGTTTTGGAACCAGATTTTAATTTGTCTCTCGGAGAGGCAAAGAGCATGTGCTATTTCAATCCTTCTTCGGCGTGTCAGGTAACGGTTGAAGTGGAACTCCTTCTCCAGCTCCAGGGTCTGGTAGCGCGTGTAGGCCGTCCGGGCCCTTTTGCCTTCCGGGCCGCCTATGTTGTCTGCAATAGAAAAGTCAGCGGTTTAGCCACCAACTCCTGTCTTCCAAAGTCCTCCGGGGGACAAGCTTGGGTCCTGAGCAGGGAACCCAGGCGAAAAGCTCAACAAGTTCTCCCTACCAGCCCACACACCCCTCCCGAATTTCCTTCCCTCTTCCTTTCTAGAGAGAAAACAATACGATTTGGATCCTGGGAACAATCTGCCCATCTGAGGCTGGGGCCGTGTCCCGGAGGACTCCGGCGTTCCCTAGCTCCTCTCCTGCCCTCTGCGCCCTACCCCGGGCGCCCCGATCGGGAGGCACAGCCCTCCCAGGCTGCCCACCGCACAGAAACCCAGGAAGCAAGGCCCTTTTCTGAGCGCCCAAGTGGCCTTTGGGTCACCCTGCCTCAAAGTTCCAGCCCCGAGAGCCGCCTCCAGTTTCCAGCCTGCAGGGTTGGGGCGCCTGCTTTCTTTTTCTTCCCTTCCCTTTCCTTCTCTCTCCCTCCTGCCCCCAAAATTCAGAATCCTGCCGGCTCTCGCCCGATTCTTCCCCCCAAGCCCCTTTTCGGGGGCTCTAATTAGTAACGCTGCTTCCCCAGCGTAGCCCTCCTCATAAATTATCCGCCCTGACAAGCCCGATTCACGACTCCTACTGCCATCCTCTACCTCTCTGCGTCTTGCTCAGCTGGCCTGACCCGGGAGAGCGTTCCAAGGCGTGGGGTTCCAGAGGAGTTTTTTGCTTCCTGCCCCTTTCAACGTCTAAACTGGCCCAGCGAACGCCTATTTCCCCCACTATTTGTGAGCGCGGGGTGCTTGCAAAGAAGAGGAGGAAGGAGGAAGGCAGAGGAGGGAGAACGGCAAGGAGAGGCTCCACAGGGCTGGGAGAAATGAGACCAGGAGAGAGACTGAGAGAGGGCGGCAGAGGAGAGAGGGGGGACCGAGAGCCGCGTCCCCGCGGTCGCGTGGATTTAGAAAAAGGCTGGCTTTACCATGACTTATGTGCAGCTTGCGCATCCAGGGGTAGATCTGGGGTTGGGCGGCCGGCGCCGGGCTCGGCTCGCTCTGCGCACTCGCCTGCTCGCTGCTGGCAGGGGCGTCCTCCTCGGCCCCGGACGCCGTGCCAACCCCCTCTCTGCTGCTGATGTGGGTGCTGCCGGCGTTGGCCGAGGCGCCGCTGGAGTTGCTCAGGGAGTTTTTCCCGCCGTGGTGGCTGTCGCTGCCGGGCGAGGGGGCCACGGCGGAGCAGGGCAGCGGGTCGGGCGGAGGCGAGTGCGTGGACGTGGCCGGCTGGCTGTACCTGGGCTCGGCGGGCGCCGCGCTGGCGCTGGCCGCGTAGCTGCGGGCGCGCTCTCCGGAGCCAAAGTGGCCGGAGCCCGAGCGGCCGACGCTGAGATCCATGCCATTGTAGCCGTAGCCGTACCTGCCGGAGTGCATGCTCGCCGAGTCCCTGAATTGCTCGCTCACGGAACTATGATCTCCATAATTATGCAACTGGTAGTCCGGGCCATTTGGATAGCGACCGCAAAATGAGTTTACAAAATAAGAGCTCATTTGTTTTTTGATATGTGTGCTTGATTTGTGGCTCGCGGTCGTTTGTGCGTCTATAGCACCCTTGCACAATTTATGATGAATTATGGAAATGACTGGGACATGTACTTGGTTCCCTCCTACGTAGGCACCCAAATATGGGGTACGACTTCGAATCACGTGCTTTTGTTGTCCAGTCGTAAATCCTGCCTGATGACCTCTAGAGGTAAACTCGTGCACTAATGGGGGAGTTGGGTGGAGGCGAGAGGGGTGGCGCGCGCGCCTCGGGCGCGTGCCCGCCGCCAGTTGCCGCCGTTCAGTCGGACTCGAGCGCCACCCGCTGGAGGCAGGGCGCATCGCCCAGTTTCCGACCGGGGGCTGCAAGGGCCGGGGTCGAATTGAGGTTACAGCCCATTATGGCAAAATTATTGCATTTCCCTCGCAGTTCCATTAGGATGTACCAATTGTTAGGCCGTCAGCTGCCGATCGCGCGCCTGGCGAGGATGCAGAGGATTGGGGGAAGGTGGTGACTTGCATTTTATTTACAACAACTTTATTTCCCCCGTTTTGCAGCCCCTCTTATTTTTGTGTCGAGGATGGGGTCGGTTCTGCCCGTCCTGCCAGCAGCTCTGAATTTTGAAAATACAGATATCACCTTCGGGGAAGGGGGAAAGCCATTTAGCCAACTGGATAAATAAATCCTGCCCGCAGCAGCAGCAGCTACAATTACGGCTCTGTTTTTGCGAGCGCATGAGGGACAGTGTCCCTGCCGCTCTTAAATGACAGGCGTCTATTAAAGATAGCTTTTGTGTAGTGTTTCTGCAAGGCGAGGTCAAATTCCATACACTTTTATAACCGTAGTCGATTTTTCTTTCGTGTGAATATGGTTTTCGTGTCATTAGTTTGCTATTTGATTTGCTTACGTATCCAGCCTGGAAAATCTTCATCACAGGGTCCGGTTCCTCGAGCCAGCCGGACCCCAAGTTGGAGGGTTCTCCTTGAACCCAGCGAGTGGGCCCAGGCTCCCTGCAGCCACAGAGGCTGCTTGGGGTCTGGGGATCCGTGGGGCCGGTTACTGGGGTCTTGCTTAGACCTCCAGGAGTAAAATGAGGGCGATAATGGAAGCATTTCGTGGCAGTGCGTAGTATCTCTGTAGTTATTTTCCACGGCTCCGAAAGACTCAAGTAAATCACAAATATAGCTGAGAGGCAAGTGGAGTCTCCCCGCTGGAGGCCCCGCGTTGCAGGCGCCCCTGGCACGTCTGGAAGCCAGGACTCTGGCGGCTTCCATGGCCCTGGGCCCCTCGTTGGGTCCTGAACGCTGCTGTGGCGGCGACGCGGGCGCTATCGGAGGCAGGGAGCGGGAATCTGGAGCCGGGGGCCTGAGGGATCCCAGGGGCTCCCCGGGCTGTAATGTTCCACCCGCGCCCAGGTTAGCTTGCCTCGGCTGAGGCTGCTTCTTTTCCACTGACGGTTGCACACGCGGGACCGAGAGACTGGGCTCTGTTGGGGCCCCCTTTGTTCCTTGAGCTTCCTGTTCTGGGAGGCCGCTTGGGAGGCCGCGACAAGGCCGGGCTCCAGCACTTAGAACCCCTCTTTCCACTGGTCAGAGATAATTTGATGATGCCCTTCGGGACCTACTGGCGAGGGACCTAGGCACAGACTCCCAGACGCGAAACGGGGCTCGGCCCAGGGCTCTTTCCTCCCTAGCAGCTCGGCGTTCCGAGGTCGGGGAGCTCAGAGGCACTAGCACAGCAGCCCGGACGCATTCAGGGCGCACCCCAGAACTCGGGAGCCGGTTTGGGCAGCCTTGTGGAGCGGGACTGGGTGTGTGCAATGCGCCCCGCTCCACCGCTGGTATTGGCTGTGTGTGAGGTTTTGTTTTGTTTTGTTTTTTAAGAAATAAATGCACAGACGCTTGCAAAGCTCCGGGCTCCCCTGAAGTTGCGGAAGCCCCCGATGGGAGCAGGCGGGGAGAAAAGTTGGGGAGCAGGCGAGGGCAAGGGGGCAAAGCCGAAGGAGGTTGCAGCGCTGGCCTGGTCCCTGCCCAGGCGTCTACTCGTCCGCCTTTGCCTCTGAGTCCTCCCCGCTGGGCTGCGTGGAATTGATGAGCTTGTTTTCCTTTTTCCACTTCATGCGGCGGTTCTGGAACCAGATCTTGATCTGGCGCTCAGTGAGGCAGAGCGCGTTGGCGATCTCGATGCGGCGGCGCCGTGTCAGGTAGCGGTTGAAGTGGAACTCCTTCTCCAGCTCCAGTGTCTGGTAGCGCGTGTAGGTCTGGCGGCCTCGGCGCCCATGGCTCCCGTACACAGCACCTGCGAGCAGAAACAGCCGGGCGCCGGTAAGCCAGGACCTGGATGGTTGACCCAGTCAGCCTAGTGCCTCCCACAAGGGGCATATGAACTGAAAACCACCCCGCCTCCACTCCAGCCTCTCCCACTATGTCTGGGGCCCAAAGCATACTGAATGGGAGATTATTTCATACCAAGCGAGATGTTTTCCACCTATAACGACTTGGGGTGGACATTATTGTTTTTGAAAAATCTGCCTCATAGGAAAATCATTACAATCAAAATAACAGAATGGGCATTCTTAATTTGGGACGCCCAGGTCGTGTTTTTGTGGGGATGCAGGGTGTGTGTGTGGGGCGGGGGGGAGGTGTGGAACCATGTAAGTAGTGTACACACTCTGAATTCATAGTGGTCTCTCTGAGGATGCTACTGTGACCAGCCATATCAGAACTCAACACATTTTTTGAAGAGTTAAAAATGGTCAGGCCTCTTGAATCTTTACACATTCTCCCATATTATATGACCCTTCTGAGAAATGCAGAACTCACCCAAGGATAAAGTGGATTTTAACGCAAAACATTATAATTTTAACAATCCGCATTAGGCTCTGTCCTAGGGAATTCCTAGGAGTCTTTGGGATTCCCTGTGGAGTCTTTGGAAACCAGAGGCTAAGAGATGGAGCTATAGTTAGTCTAGGATTTCTAGCAATGTAGGATTGTGTTGGGCTGTCTGATCTGTGCCAAAGATCCCCAAGGGTGGTGGGGATCCCTCCAAGACAGGTGTATGAACTCAGGCATGGGCTCAGAAGAAGGCAGAAGTTGGCTAAGAGTGAGCAGTTGAGTGGAAGGGGGAGGAGGTGAGGGAAGAGAGAGAGAAAAAAATCCTGAGTCTGGGGCTGTGGCCCTCCAAGGCTTTGGGGAGACACTAGAAGAGGCCAAATGGCCACCTCTCTCTGTACGGGTTTCTGAAGGGCAGAAAGGGAGGGGGTTGGGAAGCAAAGGGTATTTATCAGTGACCAGTGCAAAAGGCCCACTGGCTTGGGAAGCTGAGCAGGGTACCCAGGGTGCATGGGTCCCCACCAGCCTCTCTCTCTCTTCAGGCTGTCCCTGTCACAGGTCTCATATACGTCTCAGTGCCCCCATCCTCCCCTAAAGTGTCACCTTACATGGACACTGGGGCCCTGCCCTTCCTCTGCCATGGCCTGATTGCCCCATTGGGAACTGATTTTTTCTTCTCTTTTAAAAAGTCAAAGAAACTTTGCTAGTTCTTTCCTCCTTTCTCTCTATTCCTTTTTCTACTCAGTTTCCTCCTTCTTTCTTTCTTTTCCTGCCTCCTTTCCCCTCTCCCTCCACTGTCTTGGGATATGCCTTACCCGCGCAGGAGTTCATCCGCTGCATCCAAGGGTAAACGGGACTCGAGTACTTCCGGTCGGCGCCTTCGTCATGGAGTGCTTTGCCCTGCCCGCTGCTGCTGTCGGGTTTGTACTGCTGCTCGGGAGAAAAGTGCAGGTAGTCCCCGGGGCCCCTCTGCTTGCCACTGCCCGAGGGCGAGGCGCCACTGAGGTCCTTATCAGAATAGAAACACGAGGCCCCGTACTCGTAGGACGCCCGGTTGCAGGCCAGGACAGAGTTGGACTGTTGGTAGAAACAAGGTGAGGTGTACGTCTTGTCCGGGAGACTCGACGCCCCGTACGAGGCCGGGAAGGGCCTCAGCGCGTCATAGCCGGCCTGGTAGAGGGGCAGCTGGCCCAAGAAGGAGTCCTGGCCGCTGGGCAGGCTCCCGGGGAAAGTGGGATTCACAAAATAGGAACTCATTTGCGCGCCCCTCTGCAGGACTGTGATTTGTTGTGTATTAGTACATCTGGCTATAACTATTAGTAGTCATCGAACTGGTTTGTTTCTGGATGGCCGAACGCCAAAAGCGACAGCAGCAAATCGCACCAGCTGACGCCGCGGCGGCCAATGGGAGCGAGCGCCAGAGCCCGCTCCCCAGGGACCGCGGCGACCGAGGCAGCAAAGTTACAAACAGCCCCCAGCTCGCCCGCCCGCCGCCCGCCCGGCAGATTAATGGGCGCGCACAGCCAGCCGGCCCGGCTCTCTTCCCGAACGCCAGCGGCGGGCACTGCCCGTTCGGGGGCGAGCCGATCAGGCCAGAGTAGGGACACTAACGCTCGGGCCGCCGCAAAGGCCCCGCCAGGCCCACTCCTTCCTCCTCCCCTTTTTGCTTTATTAAATTTTGCGGGTTCCCCACCCCTCCTCCTCCAAACAGGAAACCTGAAGGTCCTGAGCCAGGAGGGGCGGTGACAAAGGTGGCTTTGCTCCCTGCCGGCCTGCACTCCAGGCATGGCTCCGAGTTGCCCCTCCCCTAGCGCTCCCCTATTAGTGGGTGCGAGTTCTTGAGCTGGAGCCAGGGCCATGAGAAACCAGGCCTTCACTCTATGCTCTTCACTCGTGCGCCTTAGCAATCGGTGAACTCCCTTATTCTCTCCTTCTCCACTCGCACCAGGGGCCTGGGGCTTGCAGCCCAAAGCTGAAGGATCACCTCGAGCTGACCAGGACTCAGCCAAACGTAGGTTCTTCCCACCCATTCCCTCCTCCCACATACACATCCTGTTTGAGTCCCAAGGGGCTCAATGGCCCGCGCCTGCCTGGTCTTAAAGCACCCCTTCCAGCTGGGCGTCCCCATCCCACCTTTGAACCCAGGGAATTAAGAGGCCAGAAACCACTAGTTTTAACAAGAAAGGACCGACAGAGCAGCGGCCGTGAGACTGGGCTCCTAAGCCAGCCGAGGGACCTGCTCCCCTGCCCAGCGCCTGGGGACTCGGCATCTGCTGCGAGAACCGCTCAGAGCTGAGGCGGATAAAAGTCCAGATGTGGAATCTTTCTGTCCACATTCCAGAGGCACAGAAGACGCAGGGGCCCTGGCCAAGCTGGGCACAGAGGGCAGCTCTGCGGGGCCCAAGGCCGCGGGATAATTGATGGGCTCGGTTTCCGGGGCGCCCGACAACCGGCACTGTCCTGGGGACGCCCTCTTTACTGCCCTTCCTGGGATCGCACGGAGGGCTGCCGCCCCTCAGTCTCTCCGGAACCGGGAATAGTTGTCTCACCGGCTCCAGAAATCCTGAATTGTTTTCACTGCTGTTCCAGGCCTGGCGGTCCCCAGACAGGACATTAGAAGTCTGTCCTGGGCTGTTCACTCTTGCCTGAGAGGTGTGCCTTCGAGATAGTTGACTTTTACAACACATGGATCAATCTCGTTTTGTAAAATGTGATAGCAGCCCAATGGCATTTTTACAACTGTGTTTGTTGGGCTTGTAAAACCCCTTGAATTAGCTTTAAAATCCTCAATTCTGTGGAGGTTGAAGAAAGACTATTTACGTGATTTGGATGGATTTCTGGAGACTGTTTACAGATCTGTAAAACCCTGGCCAATGCAGGCTCACCGGTTCCGGACTTAGTGGGGAGGTGGCAATTGGCAGTGTTCCAGTAGGAATCTAGTAATGACCTAGTCTCTTCCTTGCTTTTCCAATTTTTTTCCTGAGCTCTCCTCCCCCAAAGGGAAAAAATTGGGAAAGGACTGGCCTAAGGCCGACCTCCAAAGAGCCCAAGAGGCACTCCTGGAAGGCGGCTACTAGCCCGGCAATGGGGGCTACCCCTGGAAACTGGATGCCTGTTCCCCAGTCAATCTGTCCTAGAAAGGGTTTACTTTGCATATAAAGCAGGGCCTTGAATGAGAGGATAGAATTGGGCATTTCCCACACATTACTTCAGGGAAAGAATTCAATAGGTGAAAATGAAAACTGGTGTCAAAAAATTAAAAGGGACTTTTAAAAATAACTGTTTGAAGAAAATCATGTTTGTGTTTTTTTTTCTTGAAATTATCAGACTACAGTGATTTTAAGTAAGTTATTGTTTAAGATGAAAATAACCATTTGGAGATGTCAATCAATGTTTACATTTATAATTTCCTTTTCATTCCTCCATGTCCCACACAGTGGTGGGGTTGGTGTCAATTTACTGTTGTTATTATTATTTGTCATGCCTTGACTAGGATTCTCGATCTAATTATTGTTTCAGCTGACAAGAGAATTTGATTTCTCAGCTAAGAGCCAGAAAACATTTTATTTCTAGCTTCTATAGGCCCTAAGATGGAAAAATATATATTACATTGGAATCTTTACATGTTAGCCAAGGCTAGTGCATATCAAGTTGGCAGCTGACCAATTCATTTCTCCAACCAGATATACACACACACACACACACACACACACACACACACCTCTCTCTCTCTCTCTCTCTCTCTCTCTCAGAGAGAGGATCATTCCGGCAAGAATAGTCAGCCCAGACCCTCCAGAGAGCCTCTCCTGCGATGGTGAGAATGGCCACCCCAGGGCTCTCTCTCTTCCCTGCCAAAGCCACGCAGAAAGCGACTTACCTTACAGTTTCTCTCCAAGGCGGGCAGGATGGCGAGCTGGGCCCCACCGTCTGCCCTTGCCCTGGGCTGCCCATTGAACAGCTCCACCTTCGTCAGCCTGGAGGGTGGTCTGGGAGTATGTAGGTGTGGTACCTTGAAGGCCACCTCAGTCCAGCCAGCTCGCTAGCCCAGGCCAGAACCCAAAGCACACAGGTGCGGCCTCTGCCCTTCACAGGCCCTCGCCTGGAGCCAAAGCCGTCCTTCTTTGCCATAGCCCATCCTCCTCAGATCCGCCAGGCCTACAAGCCTCAGGACTACAGATAGTCTCTCCGATATCAGAATCGCAAAGTCAGAGTGTTCCCTGAACCAGCGTGCGCCCCCAGGACGCCTTGGGACGTGCAGTTTGGGCAGAAGCAGCCATGACGTGCCAGGCGGCCTGTGCAACCAGTCTCCATGGTGCTGGAGTGGGGGTGGGGGGAGGACCCGAGTCTATACCGGCGTCCAGCTGCGGTCAGGGGTAGCCGAGGCGGGGAGATTTCCCGGCCAAATAGGCTCTGGGTGATAGCCCCCCAGGTCCCCTTTCGTCCCCCTCTACCCTGCTTGCTGGGAAATCTCTGGAATCTCTGAGGGGCCCGTACAGCAGTCGCGCCAGGCTGCAAGAGGCGGGCTGCGGCTGGCGCCGGTCCCGGCGACGACCACGGCGTGGCAGCAGCGAGCGCCAGCACGGTCGCAATAAATAATCCGCCAGCGGCAGCCGCAGGCAGGAAGGCAGCGACCCTAGGATGCAAATACGCCGCTTTATCCTCCCCGAGCGCACCCAGAGCACGGGCGAACGTCCCAGACATCCACAGCCCCTTCCTATTTATCGAATCCATACCAAGATATTGTTTCAAGATGGGGAAACAACAACCCAAACAAAAAATAAACAAAAAGAACCTCGGACTCTTTTCTTGTCGCTGTCCGGGGAGTTCCCGGGGCAAATCTGGTCTGATACGCACTTAGGCCGAGCTACAGTTCGAGCCACCGCGCTACGCAAAGCCACCGCCAGCAGCACGCTCCGCGCTTCCTCCCGGGCAGCTCCACAGTCCTCTCCCCGCTCGCGGGAGGTGGGGAGTGCGGTCGCCAGTCCGTTGCGCCAAGGTGAATTGGGGGGTCCCCCTATCGCCCAGACTCGGTTTGCGTCCTTCCTTCCACCTTAACTGCGGGCCCCTGCCACACGCGCTAACACCATTACGTCCTCTGTACCGAAACTTCCCACCAAGTAACACCCAATTAACTCCATCCTCTCCTCCAACACAGAATTCCACCCACGCACCTATTCCCTCTCCCAGCGCTTCAGACACCTCTCTCATCGAAAAACCGGGCGAAAGGAAGCCGTCAACGAGCGGAGAACTCTGGCTGAATTAGTAAGTTTTTCTCTGTTTCTCCCTTTTACCTTTCTCTCTGAAACCAATTCCCTCGGAGTAGAAGGTGCTGTGCTGATGCTAATAAAATGACTGTGGATTAATGCACTTTGCCCTCACCTCTTCCCACCTTCCCAGGTCAAGAACGGTTTCCTGTTGTTGGGGAATCCAACAAAACCAAATAGGGCCATGAATGAAAACATAAAAATCCAAACCCAAGGGAATAGCGGGGAACACAGTGTGCCGGGCCACTTCCTTTTGGGCTTCACGGGGTCGCTGGGGAAGGGGAGAGAGACGACCCAAGGGATGCTGCCCTGTGCCTGGGCGCTGTGCCACGGAGGGCCGAGGGAAGGCGGGCACTTACTGCCAAGGCGAGCCAGGGAGGGGAGAGAAAGGGAGTGGTGTGTGTGCGTGTGTGCGCGCGTGTGTGTGCCTGTGTGTGTGACGTGTGTGTGCTGTAGTGTGTGATGGGGGCGAGTGTGAATGGGTGAGTATGGTAAGGGGGAGTGTGCCCCTCTTAAAGCCTCCCTGGGTGCCCTCTCCCACCGCTGCTGCCGCCGGCTGTCACCTCACCACCTTTACTCCTATCTCCTCCCCACATGTCTCACCTTCAGACGGCGACTCCCAGAAGCTCCTGCCCCTGTGACATCTGTCGCTTGGGCAGCCCGAAAGACGAATTGTCCTCCTTCCTGGTGCCAGAGGACGCAGGAAATTAGCCAGGTTGCGAGTTGCAAAGCTGCCGCCGCGGCGCCAGGAACGGGGCGCGCCCCATCTCCAGCGGGAGCCGCCAGGCCTGGCCTGGCCGGGGCTTCCCTTCGCTCGCCATCTCCGGACAAAGCGCAGCCGAGCCAGGCTCGAAGGCAGAGCTCCGAAGCAGGCAGGACGGAGCGGAGCAAAAGAATGCGGCTCTATTCTCGCAAGGGAAATTATAAAAAAGTTCATGTTCACGGTTCTCATCCACATGACCGACAGCGGCCAATGGAAGGGCCGAACAACTCATAAAGTTGTATTGCAAAGTTGTAAATTTTCATAAACAACAACGGATTTATGACCCTTTCCCCATCACTGAGAGGAGGCAGCTCTTACACCGGCGCCATCTTACCACCGAGGCCGCCCAGACTTGGGGCCTCAGGTTTTACAGACCCTTTTGGGCCCGGTTTTACTAAAAGAGCCATAAGAAGCGGACCCAACCCAGGCAGAAGACTGGAGACAAGGTCTTGCAGGCGGAACTTAGGATGCTCTGAGCTGCCCGCACAATCCCTCGCCCTTCGCCCCTCGCCCCTTCGCTGCACCCAGATGCCCCAGCCCCTGCCCAGGCTGCGCAGCCCAGCGAGGGTCTGCGGTCCTAGCCCCTCCCCGCGCCACCTACAGCAGTGCGGGACCCTGGGGCGCCCTTGCCTCGCCTGCAGGCGGGGTGGGGGCCTTAAATCCCATTTCCTAGCCTGGGGCTGGGTTCAGGGCGCATGCGAAATCCCTAATCAGCCTCTGGATAATGCCCCTTTCCAAGCCCACTGCGCAGCCTTAGAGGAAAGGGTGGATTTGAAATTTCCTCATGGAATTTATGGAGATTTTTAGGGAGCTTCATAGAATATAACGTATCTGCCAGAGATTCCGTTTTCAAGGGATCTAGAAGATGTTAGTGCACACACAAAAACCAGACAAACGTCTCTACACGGATAAAGGCACATGTACAATTATGCACACAGGGAAGGGCATACACTCTATTGTGGGCACAGAATGACATGCAATTATGGACACACAGAAACACATGCACCCATTTATGGACACCAAAATATACACAATTGTGAAATTAGGTAAAAACACACACACAGAAATACATAAACAAAAATAAGCACATACTCATACAAATACACACATAAAAATACATTAAAAAATACATGACACCAATACATGAGCATCCAACACTTGGACCATCACAAGGACAGCCACCCCACTTTTGCTTCCCCACTGACCCTTTCCCTCCAGCCATGCTCACTTCCCCTTTCCCAGTCTCCTCTGGATAAGGTAGTCCACGTTTTTCTTTGTCACCAAGCATCTTTATTTTTCAGTTACATAAAACACAGCTGGGCTGGGAAGTGTGTCTTCCCTGAACCCCAGGATGGAGCTGAGGGGGATACAGGACAACACAGGAGATGAAGGGCATTGCGGAGGGCATTGGACCTCCCCACCCACTACAGTTAGCTCAAGACAACATACCATGCTACAAAGTCACCCCATTAACACATCCTTTCCAAGTCAAGACACTGCCTTACAAATGAACTCCAAGACTATAGAAACGATCAAACAAAAAAATCTTGTTCAAATATACAGTATCTGCTATTATAGGAAATGTCAGGGCGTACATATTTAACACAGCTGAACAGTAAGATACAGGAGCCAGAGGAAAGGACAGCGAAGCTGGGAGCATCTCCACAGTCCTACTAAGCAGAAGCTAACCCAGAGATCTGCAGCCAGCTCAGGAACATTCCCCTCCAGAAGCGGGGGTTGATGGGCCTGAACTTTGGGTGCCAAGCCAGAGAAGGAGGGATTGATTCTAGGGTGCAGCACTTAGAATGCTTTTTGGAATAAATATATTATTTTTCAATTTAAATAGATGCCAATACCCTGATCCTGGACCTCAGCACATTCTCAGGGCAGCCTCAGGGACCCCAAAACCTGCGGGCTGTAAGCAGCAGGGGCCTTGTCTGGGAGCAGTCGGCACTAGGTAGCAGGCAAGCCAGCCAGCACAAAATAGGTAGTTTTAGGGGAGTAGGTAGTAGTGAGATTCACGTTCTTGCCGATCTGGGAGGGTGGTGCTGGGTGTCTGCCAGTGCTGGGATACATAGGGGCTTCCTGGGAATGGAGGCCCTCTGAGCTGGATACATAGGTAGTTTGGGGGTGCCTCGAGCAGAGGCCTGTGCTAGGTAGTATTTTGGCCGCGCCAGCGCAGGGCCGGCTGACCTGGGGTTGGGGGTGTCTTTTGGGGTCCTTGGAGGCAGAGGGAATCCAAGGCGACCCAGTCGCTGCCGCCGCTCAATCCACAAAAGTTGGGAGCTGGAGTAGGTGATGGGGGCTGGGTGGAGTGCAGGTTGGGGACTGTTTTGTTTGTTCGTTGTTTTTTTTTTTTTTTTCTTGTTTTTTTTTTACATTTTCTTTTATTTTCCCCATTTTTGTAAATAAAACCAGTGAGTCTCTTAAAGACGCTTTTCCGACTGTCCGGTGCAGCGAGGGCCCGGCTCGGCCCCTCATTCCTCCTCGTCTTCCTCTTCTTCATCATCGTCCTCCTCGTCAGCCTTGTCCGCGGCAGCGGTAGCGGCGGCAGAGGGCACGGCGCCCTCGGGAGCTGCTGCGGCAGCCGGACCTTCGTCCTTATGCTCTTTCTTCCACTTCATGCGGCGATTCTGGAACCAGATCTTGATCTGGCGCTCGGTGAGGCAGAGCGCGTGGGCGATTTCAATGCGGCGGCGCCGCGTCAGGTAGCGGTTGAAGTGGAACTCCTTCTCCAGCTCCAGTGTCTGGTAGCGCGTGTAGGTCTGGCGGCCCCGCTTCCTGTCAGGTCCTGAGAACAGACATGCAGACACAGGAACACACGGACAGACAAGTAGACAGGGCACTCGTTAGGCTGCTGTCCCAGAGCCCACACCTTCCTCTTGGCCTAGTCCCAGGCGAGCATCCCCCTCCGCCCCAGGCCCCAAACTGAGCTAGGGGAGGAGGGGGGGTGTTAGGGAAAGACCCCAACTGCAGTGCCAGACTCGCAGGCAGCTCTGTAATCAGCAAAGTCACAGAATCCCAACTTTACAACCGCCTTTTCCAGCCGGCTAAGCTTCCACAATGTCCTGCTTCCCCTGACAAAGGAAAACTGTAAATATAGAGTGTGGGCAAGTGGGAAAAGCTGCACTTTTGCCATTCAAAGATGAGCCCGGCCATTCCCCCACCTTGCTAGGCAAGTGGGCGACCCTTCCCAGCAGCCTGAGACCTCAATCCCCAGGACCTTCCTAGGGTACCCCGACCCTCTGGCCTCATTCCCTCGCCCCCATCTTGAAATGGCCCCTGGCACAGGGTCGGGTGAGAGGCCTTGGAGGGCTTGGCTCTCCCAGCTTTTGAGGAAGAAAAGCCAGGCAGCAAGGAAAAGGAGGAGGAAGAGAAGAAAGGGAGGGAGGGTGACAGAAGAGGGAGAAAGAGAGAATAGCGAACAAACTTAATGTTAAAATTCCAAGGCAAATGGAGTTAAATAAATTTACGAGGATCGAACCCATTAATTGGGCCATAAAAAGTTTTATGAGCCTCATTTACATACAATGCTATGGGCTCCACGCAATGGCGCCTCCGCTCTAATTAAAACCAGAAAGGCTGCGCCGGGAGTCACGGGGCTGCCGGCTCGCAACAGCCTGGCTCCGCTCTTCCGGCCCCCGGCTCCGCGCTCACCAGCGCCGCGCTCCCCGCTCCCGGTCCCGCTCCACCAGCCCGGCCAGCCTAGCGACTGCGCCTACCTGAAGACCGCATCCAGGGGTAGATGCGGAAATTGGCTTCGGCTGGGCCGTGCAGCACGCCCTCGTCCGCCTTGTCGCAGGCGCCTTTGGCGAGGTCACTGCAGAGCCCGGGGATGTTTTGGTCGTAGGAGGCGCAGGGCAGGTTGCTGTAGGCGTCGGCGCCCAGACCGTAGCCGGATGCAAAGGGGCTCTGATAAAGGGGGCTGTTGACATTGTATAAGCCCGGAACGGTCGAGGCGAAGGCGCCGGCGCCCGCCCCGTAGCCGCTTCTCTGTGAGTTGGGCGCAAAGGAGCAAGAAGTCGGCTCGGCATTTTGGAACAGAGAAGCCCCCGCCGTATATTTGCTAAAAAGCGCGTTCACATAATACGAAGAACTCATAATTTTGACCTGTGATTTGTTGTCCGGCAGCTTTCAGTGTCGGTTTTACGAGGTAGCGTGATATATGATAACATTACACCCCCAGATTTACACCAAACCCCATTTTCTTTTGGACGGAGCTCGACGCAGCACGTGACCGCCCACATGACCGCCTCCGCCAATCTCAGCAGCCCTCACAGGTGGTCTCGCTCCGCTGGGCCCGCGGTCGCCTAGAATGGAAGGGGAAGAGGCTCAAATATGCGGCCAACGAATCCGCCCGCGCCCGGTGGGCCTGGCGCGTCGGGCGGAAAAAGACCCGGAGGCTCCGCGGGAGCGCCCAGCTGGCCGCCAACCTCGGCACTGGGGTCTGCAGACGCCGGGCGGCCCCGCCTCGCGCAACCCCCCTATTCCTGCTAGTGAGCCCTGGACCCAGCTTGGGATCCTCCCCATCCCTCTCCTGTCCGCTTGCCCAGCCCCTGGAAGGATCTCTGTTCCCCTCAACAGACTGCCCCTCGGTGACCTTGTGGGCAGGACTCAGCTATGAGCAGATCGACTCTGCCCAAGTCTTCTCTCATCCAGGTCCAATGGGCGACACGCCGGACTTAGACTCGGATCCAGACGGGGAAAGCGCAGCGTCGCTTGCAGCTGCAGCGAGAATGCCACCGCAAACTGGAACCATGTGGTTCGAATAAAGTCAACGTCTCTCAGCTTCCTTTCCTTAATCGGAGGCACACTGTTTATCCGCCCTAAAGGAAACAGTGAAATATTTATCTATTAATGAGACTCATTTGCCAACAGATTTATTAACGTGGGGTTCCTCTCCCTCCTCCCGGACGCTGTAGTGCTGCAGGCTCTGTGCCTTCGCTCCTGGGCACCTGGCTGGCTCCAGCAGTCCGATAAATGGCTAAAGATTCTTTTGTCCTTGTCACAACTTCTGGTTCCCCTCTGGCGCATGGGTAACCAGGGCTGTTTCCCCCAGCTTGGAGAAATCTCAGGCCTGCACCCTTCCAGGCACTCCCAACAGTGGAAGGTTTCTGGTAGCCTTCACCTCAGCCACTCTTAGGCCTCCCCCTCCTAGGCCGGGGTGCCTGGGAACAATACATGCTTTAGAGGCGATTTGGAGAGTGGACTCTGGCGTCTAGGGACTGCAACCCCCTATGGACTTCCATTTCTTTTGAAGACACCAAAAAGAAATAGGGGGACCACCCCCTAAATGCCACCCAGCTGTGGAGGCTTCACCTATCCAAGTACCAGCTCACACGGAGCTCAGCGCACGGTGGTCTCACTCCCTCCCATCCAGGCCCCCAATTCCTGCCTTCCCAGGCCTCCGACCCCTGCACCGCGTTGGACCAGCTGAAGCCCCTGCCGCCCACCGCTCAGAGGAGGATAGTGGGGAGAACCCTTCCCCTAAACGCCTCATAAACTGCCCGGCTGCTCTGGAAGCCTAGCCACCTTTTACTGCTCAGCTCGATTACACACCATAAACCCGACCTCACAATGGAATTGCCCCGGAAATTCTCCTGTAAATTACAGAGTTGAGTTCCTTGTGTACAAAGCACTTCCCATCACTTTCAGAGGGTCCAGGCCGCCCCCGATTACCGCACCCTCTCAGGGGGTCCCAGGAATACAAAAGGTGGAGGGAGGGTTCAGATTGGGACGCCATGGAGCCCCAGTCCCTGCGCAGTGAACCACCCGGCTTGGGAGTGAAGGTGGGGGCTGGTGGGGCAGGTGGGCCCTGGGCTGTCTCCTCCTGTGCCACGGAAGTCCAGGGGTAGGGGTGTGGGGTGGGGGACAATATCCGGAGATGCCTTTATGGCGGATCAGATGATACCGTGTCTCCGATGGAGAATAGAGAGAGTAAGACAAAAAGAAAAAACCTAAATAATCCCTGTCGCATCGCCTTCTGGAAGGAAATAAAAACCCAAGAAAGTTAAAGGAAGATGAAACAAACAAGAAGGCTAGGAGATCAAAGAGGCAGAATTAGACCGCTTTAGACCAATAAATTGTTCCTGGGGTGACACAGAGCAAGATGCAAAGAGAAAAGACCAAGGCCCCCGCCGCCGCCGCCGTCTGTCTAGACTCAAGCGGCTGGAGGGGCTGACAGAGCTGGTGTTTAAAGTAGAACCTGCCCAGTCCAACAGCCCGAGTGGGGAGCGATTTCGGGGAGTGCGGGAAGGAACGCACTTCGCCAAGGGAGGGCTGGGCGCCCTCGCTGCCGGCTCATCCCTGCCCCGGTTTTGCCCGGCGCGCGTCCAGGAGGTTCTGGCAGGACACACTGCCCCTCCGCCCTGGCCAAGGAGGATCCGGATACCGCTCGCAAGGCTTCGGCCCTTATGGACCCAAGTCAGCCAACTGGGCCGAGTCCTGCGGACACCGAAACCTCCCTTTCGTTTCCAGGCTTCTTTCTCCCCTCCTGCCCTGTGTGGTCTGATTTAAAACGAAAAGGTCAGATAAAATCAGGCTTTCAATAAGGCTTCTTTAACTGCGTGTTCTCTATTCATTGGTTCTCTACTTATTTGACTGAAAAGACACAAATGCACTAGGTTATGTGAGATAATTTTCACAGAAATACTCATTAACCCTCAGCCTGAAGCAGGCACATGTAGGCGGGTTTCTAATCAGCCGAGCTATCTTTAGATAGATATTTTCAACTGCTGTCCCTGAGCTTCCTTCCTACCTACTGGCAGAGCGTGTTCACCCTGCTTCTTGTTACCAAATACCAGTATTTAAATTCAATTATGAAGGTAAAGCCAGCTCTAGGCAGGGAATAGCGCCTTCCAGAGATTTGGTGGGTGCCTGGCGAATTGCTTCCTCAAGGTTTCCACCCTTGCCTCTCTCATCGGCTGCATCTGTTCCCCACCCAGTCAGTGAGTGATCCCTGGCCTGGGCGCAAAGACAAACCCGTCCCCGTAGCGTACAAATGAGATTGGGTTGGCGCGGCGCGGGGTCTTGCCTAGGTGAAGGCCTGCTGCGGGGAAACCACTCCCAGGCTTCCCAGAGGAAAAGCAGACTCCCAGTCACCAGCCTGCCAAGGGCAAGGGAGGCGCCTTTGGACGGTCCACCCAGGCCTGGGAGACCCTGGGCTGCCTGAACCCACCTGAGGCCTCCATGATCGGTGGAGAGACGCAGTCGCCACCGATCTGTGATTTCATTTATTTGTAGTTACACAAATCGAGCTTTCTCTCTGAATCTACAGATCTGCGACTTCACCATTTATTTGTAGTTAAAGAAATTGAGCTATCTGCGGCTTGAATACAAAGCCACGGTTGACTCCCGGGGAAGCTATAAAAAAACCCTTCTTACAATCAGATGTTGTGAAATTATATACGGAAATATAATGAAGGCGTGTGTCTGTAACACACATATATGAGATGAGAGAGAGGGAGAGAGAGAAAGGAGAGATATTGTGTGTGTGTGTGTGTGTGTGAGAGAGAGAGAGAGAAAGGAGAGAGAGAACAAACACCCGGGAGAGACATCAGCCAAAATCCAGTCCCCAGTTTTACAGCGTGTACAGCGCGGAGATGCGGGCCGTAAACATTTTGTGGGCTTGGCGGAGACTATTACGACCCAAATAAATGCAATGTGCTGCGTGTTCACAGGACTCTGGGACGCTTCGAAAGGTTCTGTTTGCTTTTGCGTTTTCCCTCTGGAACCATTCGACATCCGTGGCTGATGCTCCCACCCGAGAGGAGGCCGCAGCGTGTTCCCCGCCTAGGGTCCCGGAGAGGCTGGACCTGGATTGGGGTCCCCTCCCTCTGGCCTCCTGATGGGTGAACGCCAGAGCAGCCTCGATTCCTCCACAGCGGAGGACATGCCGCGGCTAGAGACAGCCCGGGCGGCTTCCATACCGTGTGCGACACTTTTTGTGCTACGGTGTGATTGTTATATTAAACATCACATTAAACAAATAATCAAAGCAGTCCCTGGTTTGTCCCCCGGGATTCTCTTCCCAGTCAACTCGGCCCGGCCCCTAGACCTACAGTGGACAGACACCAAGATTGCCTTTACTCCCAATGTTCACCGCCTAATTTTACTGTCTCGATTCAAGCCAGCCGAGTCCCGGGGTCCTGGCTCTGTCTCGGGTTCTGACTCGCCGGGCCCTGACCCAGGTCGCAGGTTTCGAGGGCCTCCTGGGCGGCCGCGGGACCCGGGCCACGGTGTGCGCCCTCGGCACGCACTGTCCACACCCTCTGGGCGGTCATCAGGTCCGGGGGCTGCAGGCGTTCCTCCTGTGTCCAACAGTCAGCCGGGGCTCCCTGGAGCCTGGTTGTGTCAGGCCTGTCTCAGCTGAGGACGGTGACCCTGGAGCCGCGCCGGCGCCTGGAGCTGCTGCCCCGCGGCTGCCCGGACAGCTGCAGCCCGGCTCGCTGGGCCCTCAGGATGGGGTCAGGGAGGCGCGAGAGGTGAGGGTCGGGCAAGACCCCGCCGATTCCTTGTTTCCCAGCGAGGCTTCTAGCCAGGCGTGAGGAGCACCGAAAATATAGGGCGCCTGTTCACTAAAATCTGGGGCTCCCATTCCAGAAAGGCTCGTGTCAAGTCGACATCTTAGGAACTTCCCAGGGCTGCGGAGGCGGGAGATGGCGGCGCGGAAGCCTCTTGCATGGAGCCACACTGCCATCTGCTGGCCATCATTTGGTACTGCAGTCTCAGCTACCTCGGCCGGCCTGAGCTTTGGGAGCCGCCGGCTAGCCCACCGCACTCCACTCCCAGAGGAGGGGCGTGGGCCTAGGTCCTGGGGAGTCTGCGTGGAGCCCGGAATCTACTGCAGAGGAGGCAATGCCAATAAAAGAGCTGTTTCCGCAGTCGCTTTATCGGCGGCAGACAGAACAAATGAACAAATGAAAGGGCTTTGGTGGAATATCCTAATTAGGGCTGGACAGTTGTAAACTCATTAAGGGACGAATTCCAGACAGTTCGCAGTCCCGGCCTTTATGGCACACTCTTACTGCCTATTCTTTGAAGTTCCTTCTGTCTGCAACAACAGAGGGCGTCCCAGCCTGGCGACGAGGTGGGGGTGGGTGTAAGGAGACGCCTCATCCACCCGCGCCCTGGTTCCCCTTTTAAACTTAGAACACATCCAACTTTGCAGAAGTCGTGGAGTGGGGGAGGGGGAAGGGCGAGAGAAGCAAGGGAGTGGAAGCGAGGCCGAACCCTCCGGCCACATCTGGAAAGCGCTTAGGCCTCCGAAGTTGTGGCCGTTCCCCCCCGCAGCCCTTTACACCCCATAAACGGTAACAGCCCTCATTTTCTTTTATGGCGCTTCGGGGCTAGTCTGTTGCCTCAGCCCTGCCTCTGTTAGGACTTGTGCTCGGGAGGGGCTTGCAGTGCAGGACCCAGATTCTCTCGGGCCAGGCTGGCAGGACGCCGCAGGGGAGGGTGGTGAGCGGTACGAGGATGCAGGGCTTTGTTCCTTTGCAAGCCCCCAAAATGTTTGCCTGCATGGCCGCGTTGGGCCAGTGGGGCTCCTATTTCCCTCTTCAGAGGCTGCTTAGAAGGCGGTCCCCAGCTCTATCCTGCCACCTTCTCCCCCTTTTCCCCACCAAGCTAACGAAGGCCCAGGTTTGGGAATTTTCTCGGGGGCACCAAGGTGAAAGAGTCGTTTTTCCACCGCTACTGGTCAGCCCAGCCCAGCTTCTCAGGGGCTTCTCGGCCGTCCCGCACTTAGACACAAAGCCGGGAGCCTGGTTCCGCCGCCGGATTTCCCAGATTTTCTCGCCGCCAGGCAGCTGGCCTGTTTGGGAGAGCTTAGCTCGGCAGACTGGTTGTGGCAGGTCCCACTCCTGAAAGCCAGCCAGAGGCAAAATTGGGGCTCTTTCTCCCCATCCCAGCCCTCCCCTACCCAGAGACTCTACACAGGCTCCCCTGACCCAGAGAAGAAGGTGCAAAGAGCAGACCCGCAAAAAATAGAAAAGAATCAATATATTTTATTTGGCAAAAAGTTAAATATCATCTCAACACAACAATTTGGTCAGTAGGCCTTGAGGTAACTATTGCAAAATATACAGTGTAGGTTCAGTCTAATGGAAACCCCAGATTCATCAAGGATACAAATCTACAGTAGCCCAGTGGCGGTTTCATAGTGTATAATTTATTATCAATAAAATTAACTCCGTTACAATCAGCATCCATTTCCTCTGATTAAGATTAAGCACAAACCCTAGGTAGTAACCTTCTGCACATATGTATAGCTCCGAATTTCCTCACTGTTTGTCCGGTGCAAAAACAATATTCAAGCTTGTCTGATTATGTATATTTTCTTTAATTATATAGATTATATATACAATAGACAAGACAGGACTACAGATCATGGAAAGACGAAAATGCCCGCATTTTTAATGTGGAGAAAACGATGAATCTATGCATCCCCGAGAACACTTAAAAAAATTTTTTTTTATTTCACTGGGAAATCCTTACAGCTAGTTTACAATCATAGGTTAACAGCCTAGTTATACAGAAGACATATTCCACTATAGAGCTATACTCTATGCAACTGTTTTTTCCCCTCATAAACAACCTGAGTTCAAATTGAATTCTATCTTCCACAATCACAACGGGTGCATCACCCAGTACACAGAAGTTTGAGTCACAAAACATAATTACCACAATAAAACACAGTGTTCAAGTATCTTGGCAGAGCGATCTGCCGCACAAATAGCAAATTAAATTAACTACACAGACTAAAAACTATACAGCCTACCATCAACAGTTGTGCATTATAAAAAGGTAGTTTCTTTCCTTTTCTTTTAAGTCAGGAACAGGTAGATTTTTAAAAATATATATACAAGGTAGCACACACATCTATCAGCACTAATGCCCCCCCTACTTTTTTTTTTTTTTTCTTATAGAAAATGGAAAGCTTACAATACCTCCTCCATCAAAGCGGCAGGCCTACGAGCCAGCCTGAACAGGGTTTGCCTTGGGGGAGATGTGGCCTGAGGTTTAGAGCCGCTTTGTGCGGGGATGGTGGAGGCTAGGGTGGGGGTGAGAGAAGAAAGAAGGCGGAAGGGGGACAGGCAGTTCTCTTTCTCTCTAGCTCACCCTTTTTTCTAAATAAACCCAAATGGCATCACTCGTCTTTTGCTCGGTCTTTGTTGATTTTCTTCATTTTCATCCTGCGGTTCTGGAACCAGATCTTGACCTGCCTCTCGGTGAGGTTGAGCAGTCGGGCCACCTCGTACCTGCGGTCCCTGGTGAGGTACATGTTGAACAGAAACTCTTTCTCCAGTTCCAGGGTCTGGTGTTTTGTATAGGGGCAGCGCTTTTTCCGAGTGGAGCGCGCATGAAGCCAGTTGGCCGCTGGGTTATCTGTGGAGAAGAGAAACACTGGGTTTAGGAGGAGGATACGCACACTCTGCTGGGGGCAAAGGAACCTCCTGGGTGGGGTCTCTGGCCGAAGTGCAGAACTCTGCTGAATTGGTTAGGAAAGGCAGTCAGGCCTCGGACACAATGGAACCCTGGCAAACAGAAGCACAGAGGGTCACTTACAATTGCACGCAGTAAAACTTCGGCTCCCCCTCCCCTCCGAGACCCTCCTTTCTCATACTCCGTCCTCTTGTCCCCCTTCTCCTTCCTCCCACTCCCCGAACGCTGTATAGAATGAAATTTGGAAACAGATCTCCTTGCCACGCAGACGGAAAGCATGCTGCCTTGTGTCCTGTAGCAAGATTAGGATTCCTCTGTCCCGTTCACTGACTCGTCTTTCCTTCCCAACCTTTCCCTCTACGCTCTCACCCCCTACTCCTTATTTGACCTTCCTGGAAGGCCTTCGGAGCTGGGCATGCCGTCAGGGCGCCCCAAGGCCGTTGATCACGTCTGTGGCTTATTTGAATAATCTGGCATGGGGACCCTTGTGGCCCGGGTCGCTCGCGCCTTATCTTGGCAGGATTTACGCCGCCACTGGCCGAAGGCAAGAAGTGGAAGGAAATCGGCCGTCTCCCCCAGCGTCCCGGCTCCGGCTGCCCTGGCTGCCGCCGTTCACGGACAATCTAGTTGCACAAAAGGCTCTCTGGGCTGCATTGCTTTCGAAGAACGGCCCAAAGTATCTCGGTCCTAGGCCCGGGCAGCCAGGGAGAGGGGCGGCCAGTCTTGGCTCAGCCCGAAGTGCCCGCCCCGCCCCCTGTCGCTGCAGCAGCAGCCTCCTCTCCCGTAGCCCTGCGGGCCACTCTTCACGGCTCTCCGGTCTTGGGGCCGTATCTGAGGCGTCCCAAACACCAACTTCTGGCTCCTGGCCCCAACTTGAGAGGCTCCTAGCGAGGACGAAGGCAGGCTCGAGAGAAAGCTGGCGGGCCAGCAGATCCGGGAGGCCGGCATGGAGGCGGTGGTGGCGGCTGATTTGAAGGGAGGAGACACTTACTGGGATCGATGGGGGGCTTGTCTCCGCCGCTCTCATTCTCAGCATTGTTTTCGGAGAAGGCGCCTTCGCTGGGTTGTTTTTCTCTATCAACTGGAGGAGAACCACAAGCATAGTCAGTCAGGGACAAAGTGTGAGTGTCAAGCGTGGGACAGTCACCCCTTCTGGCCGACAGTGGTTCAGGTTTAATGCCATAAGGCCGGCTGGAGGGCAAGCCCGCGAAGGAGAGCGCACCGGGCGTGGGCTCCAGCCAGGAGCGCATGTACCTGCCGTCCGGCGCCGCCGCCGCCACGGGCGCCTGGGGGTGCACGTAGGGGTGGTGGTGATGGTGGTGGTACACCGCAGCGGGTACAGCGTTGGCGCCCGCCGCGTGCACCGGGTTCCACGAGGCGCCGAATACTGCCGCCTTGGACTGGAAGCTGCACGGGCTGAAGTCAGGGTGCTCAGCCAGCGTCGCCGCCTGCCGGGGGGGCTGGCCCAGGGTCCCCGGCGCATAGCGGCCAGCGCTCAGCTCATCGGCGGCGTCAGCGCCCAGCAGGAAAGAGTCCACGTAGTAGTTGCCCAGGGCCCCAGTGGTGGCCATCGCCGTGCCCAGCGCCTGGCCGGCCCGGCCCGACCCACGGAAATTATGAAACTGCAGATTTCATGTAACAACTTGGTGGCACCAGGGGGGGAAGTACAGTCACCTAATAAGTTGCCGGCGCCTGCGCCCCCATTGGCCGTGCTCGTCACGTGCCCGCCCAGCAGAACAATAACGCGTAAATCACTCCGCACGCTATTAATGGCCCAGTGTTTTGCAGTCATAATTTTTATAGCAAAAGCCATATGTTTTTATGTAAAGGGATCGTGCCGCTGTACGATCGGGTTTGTTTTAATTGTGGCCAACGAAGATTAAAAGATCAAATCTAGCCTTGCCTCTGTACTCCCCCTTCCCCCCCCATACACACACTTCTTAAGCGGACTATTTTATATCACAATTAATCACGCCATCAGGGAGGCGCGGGTCCCGCGTGCGAGTGCGGCCAGCGGAGCCCCTCACATAAAATTAGACAATAATTGAAGCCATAAAAAAGCAGCCAAATCGCATTCTCGCTCTACTGTATTTAAATCTATATTTATGATATTTCATAAGGAGTTATTGTTTCAGAAGCCACACAGGCTGGCGGGAAGTCGGGAACGATCAACAGATTCGTTTGCCTCGCCCTTGCTCCCAGCAGTAAAAATTTACGAGGACTTGGAAAGGTTAGACTGTTGTGTTTGGTTGGCGAGCTCCCTGTAAATAATCCCTGCGGTCCCCGGGAGAGGCGAGTTTACCCCCGGCCGCCTGCGAAAAGTCAAATTCAACGCAGGATCCGTCCCAAACGGAGCAGCCGCCGGCCCTACCAGGGCACTCCAGGCAGGGACTGGCCGCTCAGGAAGTACCGCGGGTGTAGGTCCCCACGGCTACCCGCCTGGAGCGAGGGGCGCAAGAGCAGTCCTTAAATTCGCCTTTGTTGCGAGGACCCCACTGAGGAGCTGGCCAGGAGGGAGCGGCCAGTCGCCCCCAGGGCGAAGGGTTTGAGGGCCTGGTTGGTTGTGTGGGGCGCTCGGCCCCCGGCCGTCGACCCCACGCAAACGCGCACCCAGCCCGCCCTTCTCATCAGCTGGAAATCAGGATTCCCAGGCGCAGGCGGCTGGCGACCCAGCCCTGTGTTCCAGCCTCAGAGGCTCTAACCCTGAGCGCTGCAAGCCTAGTTGAGCTCCCTGAACCCCAACTGGGGAAAAAACTCCAAGTGGCATCAACGGAAGGAGAGTTCGGCTTGGGGAAAGGCAGCCTCGCCTGAGACCCCGCGGCTCCGGCGGCTGGGAGGTCCGCACCGATGTGGCCTGTCCCGGGGCCGTGTGAGCCTTTCAGGGCTCCTTTCCCCCTTTCCAGCTACTACTCCGGGCCTCGCCTTGGTTACCTACGGACCCGGCGACTCGGCGGAGAGGTACAAGGCCCAAAGAGACGCAACCACAGCTTAAGGTCAGGGCTGGAAATTAGAACGGGGAGGGGCACAAGGGCATCGACTCCAGTCCCATTCCTGGGCCTGGCCACATTGGGGAAGTTTATTTCTCACCCATTGCAGGTAAATTAAAAGGTCACAGGCACTCTGTTAATTGGAAGGAAACTCCCCCCCACCCCCAATTCCTAACAGAAAGCGGCGACTCCTAGAAAAGGGGTAATCAAATTCACGTGTGGATACTGTGCCTGCAACAGTGTGTTTTTCATTAGCCCACTTCCCTGGCGGCAAGGCTGGCGGACTCGGGCGCTTCCCTCCCTCTCTCTCTTTTTTGCCTTCATCCTCACCAGCAGTTCCAGTAATCCCCCCCACCAAACACCCTGACACACTTCCGGCTGGGACTCTCATATACCAGCGAGGTTGCCAAGCCAGGCGGATACCGACAGAGTGCCCCTTCCTGCACCCACGCCTGGAAGAGGGAAGCGGCCGACATAATGAACTCCGACACGGCCCCGTCATGTCCGCCTCATCTCCCTCCCCCTAATATTTTCCTTGCCCTATAAATTCCTCTAGGTCATGCCCACCCCCACCACAGTCCACCGTGTCCTAAATACCCCGCAGTCCGCCAGGCCTCTGAGATTTTCATTTAAAAAATTAACCCTGAAGGAAACCCTGGCTCCTAATTTTAAGTGTCTGCAAATAGGCTGGGTATGTCTGGCTGCCTTTTCCACTTTTTATACCAGAGAAGACACTGATTATTTTAGTATTTTTTAAGTAAAAAAGCTGTTCCTTTAAACAGCCTTAGCCCCCAAATAAGAGAATTGCTGAACAATTAGCAGGCCTTGAGTGTTAAGCAGATGTTACTGGTGCCTAGAAAGAGGAGAAAAATCAGAAAACCAAATATTGTCTCACTTCAGCCCAAAGGTTTGGAGCCAGAATATTCAGACTTTTTTGTCTGCTTTTATTTTGGAAGTGAAAGAGATGCATATCATAAAGAAATAGTAAATGACTATAATTTAAAACTGCCCCTTCTTGACTGAGATTTCTAAAACTGTGATCTCTGAAATTAATAAATATCCTGGTCCAGAAAATGGCACGGAGGAGTTGAAGGGAATGGGGTATGCGGTCCTTTCAGACAGCAGGCCGGTGGCTGTGCAACGGAACAGTTCCTGGGCCTCCAGTCCAGGCAGGGAAGGGAAACAGCTCTGTGGGCACGAATCTGTAACTGTGTGTGTTGGGGGTAGGGAGAGATAGTTTGTTTTCTGTTTTCTGGAGTGAAAATGGTCAGACTGGCTCCCATCTGTAGACTACAAGTTGGAACGATGACCCAAGTTTATATCAATGGCTCTGGAATTTGGGATTCTTTTTGCCCAGTTGAAACATACTGGCTCTGCTAAGGGTCCCCTTCTCCAGTACCCAGAGGCACAAAGGTGCCGTATGGAACATATTTTGTACCTAATAGAAGCCACTAGCAAGCGAGCAGTCAAGCTTTGCCCTAGCCAGTCTCCCTCAATGCGGTCAAACCCCAAGCTGTGACCGGCAGGCCGGGAAGAGCCGGCTAAGAGCTTCCCAGAGAATGGCCAGGCTCCAGCGAGGCTGGTTGGGCCTCAGCTCCAGTTCCCAGTGAGGCTAGCAAAGGCCTCCCTGCCCTCGATATGTGCACACAAAGCTGCAGCGAATGCCCCCTAACCAGATCTCCTAGTCAGCCTTTAGCGACAGGCGGAGACGAAACGCAAGGCCGCCGCCATCCGGTCGTGATCATAACCGAGGCCTTGTCTGCACAGTAACATACCAGGCCCAAACCCACCGCCCTCGGCAGCCGCCCCACGCGGGCCCTTCCTCAGCAGACTTCCCAACCTCTACTTGAGACACAGAGGAAAGTGAGACTCCCTAGGCTCTCCTGAAGCCAGCCCTAAGCCTCTCCCCAAGGATGCTTTGGGAAGGAGATAAGGAGGTGAGATAGAATCTGGCAGAGACGGAAGATGAAAAAAAGACAAACGGAAGAAAAGAAAGCAGGAAGGAGCAAAGGAAAGAAGAAAAAAGAAAGAAGGGATAAAAGAGGAAGGGAAGAGAGGGAAAAGAAGGAAGAAAAGAGAAAGAAGCGACTCCTAGCAGAGGCCGGGCTTACAGAGAGAAGGGTAAGTGACAAGGCCAGGATCCCAACCTCTGCCTGCCCTATCTTCCTAGTGCAGCCTGAGTCTCCACTGGAAGAAGATTCTTTCCTGAGCTCACACCCGGGACTGGTGTGTGTGTGTGTGTGTGTGTGTGCGCGCGCGCGTGTGTGTGTGTGTTCCAGCCTTACAAGAGACTGGCAGGAGGTCCCTGGGCAGGCGCAGGCCTCTAGTGGGGGAGGCTCAGGATGGAAGCGTGCGCCCCTGACCTTGAATGGCCCAAGGCCCAGAATTCCTACCACGCCCCTGGCGTCCGCGAAGGAGCAGCCAACCTGACCCTACCTGCTGTGGGCCAGGTGGAGGTGTGTGGTGGAAGGGGAAAGCCGGCCGGCTGGCAGAGCGCTACGGAGAAAGACACAAGGCTCCTGCGCAGGGAAAGCCGAGGATGCCACCGCAGGCCTGGCACGACCAGGGCCGTGATGCCCCGCCCGGCCCGACCCCAGCGCGCAGAGTACCTGGAGACGATTTCAACTGAAGTAATGAAGGCAGTGTCGTGCTGTCGAGAGAAAGGTGGATCCCAACAACAGGAAACTACCTAAATCACCGACCAGTTCTGGTGCTGCCCGCGCAGGGCCGCCTCGCCCGCCGCCGATGCCGCCGCCGCCGCCGTCGCTGCCGCCGCCGCCGCCGCCAGGAGAGAACCCTGCGATCGCGCCCGGCCCAGCGCAACCCCTAGGCAACCTGCGCCCGCCGCTGCAACGGAATGCCCCAGGCAGCCGCAAATGCGTCACTGAAGGGGAAGCCACAGGCCCCAGTAAGGTATGCCTTGGAGGGAGAGGGAGGAAAAGAGAGCGAGGAAAGGCAGGAAGAGAGGAATAAAGGCGGGGAGCAGGCGAGACGAGAGTAGCTCTGAGGAGCAGTGTGCACGCTGCTTTCCCAAATCTTGCAGCCCAGCGAGCCGGCGCCAAGCGGCGGTAGCCGTGTAAGGCTCGAAAGTGCCAGGGACAGTACAGAGCCCGGCTCCCTGTCTGGCCCCGGCCTCCCGCCGCTCGCTCTCCCGCCTCTGCCTCCTAGCTGCCCTCCCGCCGGGGCGCGCGCTCCCGCGCCCCCTCCCCCTAGCCCTCCCCCCTCCACACACACAACTCTGGCCAGCAGGAAACGCGTGGCCCTACGGAGGGCCGCCAGGTGGGGGAGGCCGTACTGGGGGAGGGGGCGGCCCCCATGCCGCCCAGCCCGGGTCCACCTAACGGCTGCCTCCAGCGGCTAGGGATGCGCTGTGGGCCAGGCCTGCTCCCCGATTCAGATTGAGGGTCATCTGAGACTCAGACACCCGCAAAATAACCGGCCTCTGCAAGCCTCCCTGGGGCTCCCGAAAGAAATCCTGTTTGGCTTCCTCTGTCTATGCAGCTCCCTTCTCAACTGAAATCACTGGTCCAAGACAGCCACAATCCAGATATACTAGCAAGCCATAAAACTGAACAAAAGCCGACAAACCTTACGGCACCAGGGCTATAGGGCCCAGACAAATTACGACCGTCTAGGTAATATTTAAATAGATGCCTA